CTTCTTTTTCCCCTCTTATCTCTCTTCTTCTTAGGTTTTCGCTTGTTTGCTCGACGCGTTTTTATATATATATATATATAAAGAAGATTCCTTTGGATAGAAATCGAAAATGAAACAAATTTATTTTTTTTAAAGATATTGTATGATTGGGGATATTCATAACAAACAAAATATAGCAAATAAACTAATCCCGAATTAAAATGACATATTTTTATCTTTAAACTTAAAATGATATTGATTTAGTCAAAGATATGGATCAATTTTTAAAATTACTAGGAGAGAATTTGTGCATATGCGCGGTTCTTGTTTTAATTTATATTTTAAATAATATATTTTTAGAATTTGTTTTGAATTATATTTTTACCATCATTTTTTCGTTTAAAATAATTATATTTTCTTCGATTTTTTCTAGATGATACACTATTTGTAATCTCTTCGACATGAGTTGTGCCAAATAATCCGATTTTTCTCCTACGGTAATGAGAGACTAACGATCTCTTATTTTAATTTATGTATAAAAACGTAATATCTCATAGAAAAATTTACCATTTTGAGTTTTTTTGGTTATATATATTTTATTGATTCCATTTTTTTAAAAAAATTTGTATGACATTTTGATGTATCTACTCTTCTTTTTTACTATTACTTTTTCTAATAACTTTTAAGGTTTAGGTTTACTATTGATGACTAAAATTATATATACACAACAAAGAAATGTATCGTAGTCATAATATAGCAAATATTGAATGACTTGTCACTGAAGTAAATTCAAGGCGAAAGAACCAACTGTTTTTTTCATGTAGTGATGTTTCTTCCCAATTAGTTACATTTCTCGACTTGGAACTGAGGATAAGACTATGATTAAAATTCATGAACTTCTACCTGTTGATTGTCTAATTTCTCATCAGACCCCCTCAATAGTAAAAAGTTAAAAACCCTTGCTTTCTAATTCCCCTACAATATCTTTGAAATATAACATTGCAAAACTTCACTTTAATTTCCATGAATCTGAATGCTCGAAAGCAGCCTTGGAGATGCAGAAGTGAACCTTCCCGTCTGGTCCGTACACCGAAACCCTATTACCTCCTTCTTTCTCGAGCTGAATCTCTGATTCTCCAAGAAGATGCAGAAATTTCTTCTCCACCTGCGGTTTCAATAACGTCAACGTCACCAATGGTCATAATTTTGAATCAAACTTCCTGACTGTTTTCTTATAATATTATAGAAGAAGCTTGCAGTCCCATATCATATGTTATATGTAAGGTACGGTGTTGAATTATACGTTGAAATTGAGATTTGAAAGTAAACCGATGTTGTGAGAAATGATAGAGAAAGAATTGTACTTAGAGTTGTTTTCGGATTTATCAAAGAAAAACATAGACGGATTGTAAAAAAAGGGTGTTAACTACAAATTACATTACCAATCTTCATCTGAACAAATCTTCTGTTAGAAGCATATGCTTGTCTGGTTGACTATATATACACTCTTTATCTTAACAGTCTTATGAATGGGAAAAATGTTTTAAGCTTTTAACTGTTAGCAAACGATAACACTTGGAAGTGAAACAGGTAAGTGTAGTTGGAGAATTGATCACCAGATATGGTTATGTGGCACAAAAACATAAAGTGGCTTATCGCGAAAGCAGCAGTAACCATATCATCCTGCTCTTCTCTTTATTTTTTCTTCATCTATAGTTAACCCTTCTTCTTGTTGTTGTTCTCATCGTTGAAGTCGCCATTATCTCTCTCTGTTTCTGTCTCAGGGAAAGCTGCCGTGAAATGCAAGGCTTCAAGGGTTTTCTCTTTCCTCTCTCTTGTGAAACTTTAACAAGTGAATCATTTCTATTATATACCCACTTGATTGAGAAAATGGACCGTATGAAAGGACCAGAAAAATTATTGTTTTTTGGCCCAAAATTCCATTTAGTCTAAAACCAATTATAAAAGATGTGATACATATTCATGTTGGATTCTAAATGATATTATTAGTTACCATTTATAAATGATGTGATAGTTACGAAATAAGTACGGCTTAAAGAAGATGCAGAAGAATCTATGGGCAAACGTTGGTGGGTCAAAGCTGAAATCAAGGGGCTGCCTAATTACATACTTACTTCATGACGTTGCTTTAGTGTGTTTCCACAACTTCTCCTTCTGTCACTTTTTCACTTCTATTAATTTTAAGGGCTTTTAAAACATTTAATTTCCTACATAGTTATTGTTTGTGCGTCCGCGTGCATATGGGGCTACCGCGGCTCTCTGCGTTAGCGGCGCGTTTAGTGGTGGCGTGTACATGTCAAAATGGAATATGCCTTCAAACTGAGATCTAAGTTTCTCCTAAGCCTTTTGTCAAAAAAAAAAAAAAAAAAAATCCTATAATGTCAAAATAATATTTCAAGTAGGTTTTATCGATGAATGAATCAATTTATGCATATACTTTATAGTGCCGTATTATTATGATATCTCAACGCGCTAATTTGAATCTTTTGAGACTTTGACAAAGAGAAAATTCATTATAATTTCCTCTTTGCATCTTTTGACAAAGTATAAAATTAGAATCTAGTCTTGCATCTTTAATTCATTATTTTTAGAATTTAAAAAGATCTATTCGTTTTTTTTTTAAAAAAAATGTTCGTAACATAGCAGAATTGTAATAATTATCCTAAGATTCAGCACAATGAAAAATTATTTTAGTACTTGATATTTGATATACTTTGAATCCCATAAATACAGATTATTTTTTTTAAAAAAAAATATTAGGCTTGGAGAATCAGTCAAATCTTCGTAAAAGTTTACGAATTATGAGATGTTTATGAAGTCAACATGGTCAAGTTTTGTTGGTAAAAAAAAATCTACCAAAATCGTAAAATGACCGACCAGAAGAAGAAAATATCGAGCAGTAATAGTCATGCAAAAAAAATTTTAGAGGCCACCACCTAATCAATTCAAGTGATTTTGCTTCTTAAAACGTCAGAGAATTGTGGTTTTATGGTTTGATTTGCGTTTCTTAGTTCCTACAACATTTGAACTGTTTAGAATTATTGCTGATTTTGGATTCTAGTTTGGTTGCTCTGATGTGAATATACTATGAAGATGGGAACAAAATATTATTTTTTCATGTCATGGTCAAAGTTTTGGAGGTTTTTGATGATTGCAAGGAGGTGGTAAATTTAGGTCCTCAGAATTCAATCAATGGGATTCATGAGAAGCCAATCCTTCTAGTTTTTTTTTTTTTTAATTTGAAAAATGCTTCCTTCTTTTAATTTTTGGCTTTGCAAAATCAGGTTTTAATGATCTTTTATATCTATAGAGAGTTTTAAATTAGTTAGAATTTAAGTAGTAGTTTGATAGAACAAAAAATAGTTTCTAGCTAGTCTTTTTGTTTTTAGTTACGGACTGAGACGGGATTGGATGCCGGATGTTATAGCTTATGCAACTTTCTCGCAGATAGTATTATATTCATGTGTTGCAATTTAACCATGTTAATATACAAGAGGAACAAAATCCAACTGATGAAAATAAGATTCATAACAACATATATTCATGCACAGTAAGCTTTGTATATGCAGAACCAAATTTAACCATCTTGATGATTTAAATAAAAGAATCAGTGAATCACTTCCTTCTAAATTCATTACATGCACCACTTATACTATCTGTAATAATTAATCAAAAGTATTAAGAAAAATTACAAAGGTAACATGTCGGTTGCACCGCTATATATAATCAAAGTATTAAGGGAAAAAAAGGCAAAGGTAACATGTTCTATCACGTGGGGCAGAACGGAAACAAAGAATATTCACATAAATTGAAAATTGCATAGGCAAAGACAAGCAAACAATAATTGGAAAAAGAAATATTTAGAGAATGTGATTCATGTGATGGATCAAATTAGGTATATTCTTTCTAGCTCTTTAGTGTTCACAGCCTCTACCAACACAGCTTCGCTCTTATCCAAAAGATTGGCCCGCGTTACAGAGACATCACACAATACCAATTTTTTGTTTCTTTCTAAACTAGTGCGTGCTGCATATCAAAATAGAATCTAGAGATTCTTAATATCTAGGCTACCAAACCCCAATAGATTCTCATAAGCACTTCAATTTTCTTACAATTTTAGTCTACTCAACTATGTATCACAGGATGTTGGTTTTCCATCATTGTGTTGTGTATTTATTTGAAATTTTTACTTTTGATGTCGGGAAAAGAGGATAAAACAAAACTTTTTGGGTCCAAAACTAATTAAATTATATAGTAATGGACTATTTATGCTACGTTTAATCGGTTCTTCACTCTTCGAATGTCCATATCTTTGAATACTTTTAGTAGTACCTTATTCATGTAAATGTAGATTTACCGTATATCCTGTTGTGACGCTATCAAAGCTATCATGTTGAAATACTCTCCGTTATTTAAAACTTATTTTTATATCTTATGACGGCATAATATACATCTCGGTTGATAAAGAAATGTTGTACACTACACACACAAAAATATTGAAAAGTTAGTTTGTGGAAAGAAAAACTAACAAACAAAATAACATCTTCAATTCCACAAAAGAACATAATTTTAATAAATATCTATCAGTAGCCAAAATCTTAGTACTACTACAAATGTGTGTATTTTATTGATCTAGTTAGTACATAAACAAAAATTTAATTAAAAATCGAGAATCAAACAATAGAATATACCAAACGTTGTTGATTATGGATTAAAACTTTAAGAAAATAGAAAAGTTTGTTTTTAAGAATAGTAAGAAAAGAACATTAATGGGTTTGACTGTTTGTTGAGAGATGGCCGAAAAAAAAAGAAAGTTTGGATTGGTAAGCATCTACGCGACGTTGGACCTTTACTTCCTTACCAAAAAAGGTCAAAATTAACATGTAAATATTTTACAATATGGTTTTTATATTTGTTGTATTTATATTTATTTTATCTGTTAAAGACGCACTCTTTTTCTTTTTGTTATCTCCTCCACGGTGTATATATAACGAAAGATGTGTCTTTTGCAATATTTGCCTTCAATTCGCCAACAGAAGCTCTTTCCTCATCACAGCTCAGCCTGACCCAAATCTCAGGCTGTTCTCTCTTTCCATTGAAGCCAAGACTTTACAGCTCCGATCTCTCGATCCGGTGAGATCTCTTCCAAAGGTAATGCCTTCAAGTTCTTATTTTTCTCTGGATTGGATGTGATGCATGTCCTTGTCATCTGAATTCTGCTCGTTATTTATGATTTTGATTCAATTTTCGCGGATCAGGTTCTGGGGATGTGGTTTTTCTGTCATTGATATCTGCGGTTGATGCAACGACTTATTTAGTGTTCAGCGATTCTGATTGATCTTGAAAATGATGACCTTTGTTTCCTAATTTTTTTTTATTGTTGTCGGATCTGGGTTTAAGCTGGGATTTTGATTATGGTAATGACGTGATGCAACATTTTACAGCCGTTGGATTGAGCTGATGTTGTCTGATTAACCACCTGAAATTTTGCCAAAGGTCTTTGTTTTGTCTGATTTAGTAGTGTTTTTATTGTTGTATCGGTTTGATCTATGGTGTTGTGGATCTGAATTCATTGGCCGCTTTTCTCTCTGATTCTCTTTATAATTGCTGTATTGCTTTGTTGTTTATGTTTCTATTAGATCTAAATGCACGTTTTTGTGTCGGTGTTCTGTTTCTAGCACTTAGTCTATTCACCTTCTTGTCTTAAGTCAACTCCACACGTTTATGGATTTCCACAATGTGGTTTTAGAATTGATTACTTTCAAATGTGAGGTATAATTTAACTTCTTTAGCTTACCCACATTGTTAAGATCTGACGTTGGTATTTACAGGAAAAAGAGTTAGTAGATCAAGATGAAGGCACTCATTCTTGTTGGAGGCTTCGGGACTCGGTTGAGGCCATTGACTCTCAGTTTCCCAAAGCCGCTTGTTGATTTTGCTAATAAACCCATGATCCTTCATCAGGTACTATACTGATATTTTCTGTTGCAGGTCAGATCCTGCTAGTTTATTTGTCTTGTCTGTGTTTTAACCGAATCATGTATTCTTGTAGATAGAGGCACTTAAGGCAGTTGGAGTTGATGAAGTGGTCTTGGCCATCAATTACCAGCCAGAGGTGAAAGACTGTCTCCTAGCTTTTCTTGGCAGCTCTAATTTCTGGTTACATGTTTGTATTCACCGTTTACTTTGTGTCGACAGGTGATGCTTAACTTCTTGAAGGACTTTGAGGCAAAGCTTGAAATCAAAATCACTTGCTCACAAGAGACTGAGCCTATGGGTACAGCTGGTCCTCTGGCTCTAGCGAGAGACAAATTAATTGACGGTTCTGGAGAGCCCTTCTTTGTCCTCAACAGTGATGTGATTAGTGAGTACCCACTCAAAGAGATGATTGAGTTTCACAAAGCTCACGGTGGAGAAGCCTCCATAATGGTGACAAAGGTGAGATTTTCGAACCTGTAATAATCTCCATTTATGAGATAAGTCAAAGTATGATGTTCCATCTAATGTGGACCTGTGTATATTTTGGTTATAGGTGGATGAACCGTCGAAATATGGAGTTGTGGTTATGGAAGAAACTACAGGAAAAGTGGAGAAGTTTGTGGAAAAGCCAAAACTGTACGTAGGTAACAAGATCAACGCTGGGATTTATCTTCTAAACCCATCGGTTCTTGACAAGATTGAGCTTAGACCGACTTCAATCGAGAAAGAGACATTCCCCAAGATTGCAGCAGCTCAGGGACTCTATGCGATGGTGCTACCAGGATTTTGGATGGACATTGGGCAACCCCGTGATTACATAACGGGCCTGAGACTCTACTTAGACTCTCTGAGAAAGAAATCTCCTGCCAAGTTAACCACTGGTCCACACATTGTCGGGAATGTTCTTGTGGATGAAACAGCTAAGATCGGGGAAGGATGTTTGATAGGACCGGATGTAGCCATTGGTCCAGGCTGCGTTGTTGAGTCAGGTGTTAGACTGTCACGCTGCACGGTCATGCGTGGGGCACGTATCAAGAAGCACGCATGTATCTCGAGCAGTATCATCGGGTGGCACTCAACGGTTGGACAGTGGGCTAGGATTGAGAACATGACGATCCTTGGAGAAGATGTTCATGTGAGCGATGAGATTTATAGCAATGGAGGAGTTGTTTTGCCACACAAGGAGATCAAATCCAACATCTTGAAGCCAGAGATTGTGATGTGAGTGATACTACGTGGAATGATCAGGACCAGACTTCGTAAAACTCTTGGTTGTGTCTTTCTTTCTCAACTTTGTGCTTTCGTTATTCTTCTTGGCTTGAATAAGCATACCAAAAAAAGAAATGCTGTATATCTTGTTAGGGTTAAAGTCATTTGGTGTTTTGTCTCTCTATTTTATTGTAACTTATCAACACAATTCTCAAATTATTTGACGATCTTTTTGAATATTCAGTATTGAGTTTTCTAAGTCGAGCTATATCTTAATAAAATTACACACTTCAAAATATTCTGGAGCTCACTTCTGGTATTGAATTTTCTCGAACCGGACTATGCTGAAGCTCAAATTCGACCGGTATGAATGCTTCGTATAAGCCCTAGCAAAAACGCTAAACCCTTGAAAAAAATCTCATTTCTCTTTACAGAAGAAGAGAGAATCCATCACTACTCTAGCTTCTTTGCTATATCCCGCCATGGGTTTCGCTTGGTGCGTACGCAGGTCAGCAACTAGGTTAGTTTCCGTGTATGGTGGTCGGGTGGGTCGAGTCCGGTCTATCTCCGCCGTCGTTAACCGGGCGTCACTTGCTCGCAACCCGTCTCCGGTTTGTCCTTTCGTCTCTCGTGGATTTCTGTACTCGACGGCTATCGATCGGATGAGCTCCGAGCAAACGCTTCTCCGGGTGATTGATTCCGAGATCAATTGTGCTCGCGAAACCGATGATCGCGATTTGGTAATTTTTTTTCACGCATTTTGCTCATTTCAATCCTGAAAGAACATAAATTGGTGTGAGACGAAGTCTTCTGTTTGCTCTGTTTTGATGAAATTAATGGGTTTATCTCGAGTTAACTAAAGAAAGTCACAAAATTGAGTGCTGGAAATTTTGCTGATTATAGTTCTTACTGGTTTCAGTTTCTTGCACTGTCTTATCTGATTGATCGTACAATGCAGTTCCTTTAGAAGCTTGTTGAAAAGCTCTTTACTTTGTGACAATTTTGTCATATGCTGTTATTCCCATTGAATTGCTTTCTAGAGCTGTGGTTTAGGATTGTTAGATCTTTGTAGGGAAGCAAGTTGCAGAATTTGGCCCTTCCTGATCTCTGAACACACAGTTTTATATCTTCATTCTCTGATTTCGTAAAAGCAGAGGATCTCGATTTAGTTTCCTGGTTTAATTGCTTTTCCTTACTCCCATTTTCATTTGACTCAAAATAGCAAAGTGCCTGATCATTTTCTTACATATGATTGGGGTTTGGTTGTGAGCAGGATGAAGAGACTACTCCAGGGAGCTTCCCTTTCAAGATTGAAGACAATCCTGGTCATCAGACAGTAACATTGACTAGAGAGTTCAAGGGGGAGCATATTAAAGTTGTAGTAAGCATGCCTAGTCTTGGCGCTGATGAAAATGATGATGATGATGAGGATGGCCCTAGTAATGAATCAAGTATTCCACTAGTTGTGACTGTCACCAAGAAGAGCGGACTCAGCCTAGAGTTTAGTTGTATGGCTTTCCCTGATGAAATTGCCATTGATGCTTTATCTGTAATCCAGCCAGGGAATTCTTTGGAAGATCAACTGGCCAGTGAAGGGCCTGATTTCGAGTAAGCTTTGTGAATCAAAAAATTCTATATAATAAGTGCATGTGTAAGGTTATAATGATCTCTTGTGTGTCTTCTACTTTTGCAGAGACTTGGACGAGAACCTGAAGAAGACATTCTACAAGTATCTGGAGATAAGAGGAGTGAAAGCAAGCACAACGAATTTCTTGCATGAGTACATGATGAGAAAAGTGAAGCGAGAGTACTTGCTGTGGTTGAAGAATGTTAAGAAGTTTATGGAAGAATGAAAGTTAAGATCGATTCCTCAAGTACCTGAAAAAAATTAGATATGTAAGAATGAGAACTCTTGTGTTCATTCTTAGCACTCAAACGTACTCAAACGTGTTTACCATTTTGCGCTGATCCTTGGGAATTAATAGTAATGACTTTTTAAGTTCATATATGCAACTTTGTATTAAAGGTATAACTCCCAGTGGAAGTCCAAACTCAAATCCAAAGATATAGATAAATGATAAATCAGAAAGGTGTAGGTAGCCTTACAACGTGTTTTTTTTAAACAAGAAGAGAAGCTAAGAAAATGTTCTTCATCTTACTTATGAGCAAGACCAAGTGGTAACTTATTCTTGGTGCAATCCCTAATTCCTAAATCAAAACCACTACATAAGAGAGGGTTTCAATAACAATAATAATAGGATATGATATTAGCAGAGAGGAAACAAAAAGCCCATCCTCTCCTCAAGTCTCAACACACAACAGTCTTCTAAGATTGGATGGGAATGTCTTGATGGGTGTAAGCAATCCCATTGTCTCCATCAACAACTTGTCCTTTTCCTCTCATTAACCTGCAACCACCATCACTCATACTTCAAACCATTTCACCATGAAAATTTACAAATAAAGCTAAGAAGAAAAAGCTTATTGCGAGGATATATCGACATAACAACAATGGTGTTTCAAGTAAGTAAAATGGTACCATCTTGTTGTAAGTAATCCTTCAACTCCGACTGGGCCACGAGCATGAATCCTACCTGTGCTTATTCCCACCTATGTATAACCAACCAAAACTTACTTCATCACTCACTCTTCCCTCTTTTCCCTGTTTGATAAATAGGATTATTTGTATGTCTCTCACTTACCTCGGCACCAAGTCCAAATCGAGCCCCATCTGAGAATCTTGTGCTTGCGTTGTGGAAAACAGCAGCGCTGTTCAAGGACGTACATCTTACAGTCAGTTACCAACATAATCAAAGACAGCCACTAAACAAGTTCATGATCCGGTATTTTACCTGTCCACTTGGCGAAGGAATAGCTCTGCAACTTCGGTATCCTCTGTCACAATGCAATCTGTGTGCGCACTGCTCGTAACAAAATATAAGACAAGATAAAGAGTGAACATTTCCAGTACATAGGCAAAAAGATTACAAAACTCAATGTCTGTTATATCGAGTTTTTACCTCCCATGTCGGTGAATGTGATCTATAGCACCGTAAACGTCTTCTACAACTTCAACGGTGCAAGCCTTGGAACAGTACTCATAGTTGAACGACCGTGCTTCTGGTATGTTCAGTATTGCACTTGCTCTTGGTCCACCATATACAGTGACTCCTGCAGTTAAAAATACTTCATGAGTTAAATTACTCCAAACAAGTCTTCAGAATTAATTTTACCAACCAAAAAAAAAGTCTTCAGGATTACGAGAGACCAACAAACACGGCATTTATGACATACCATTGCTCTGCAGCACAAAAATAAGCTCATTGAGCCCGTTCTGCTCTAGATCCTTATGCACAAGAAGAGTTTCCTGAAAATACAAAGGAAAGAGAAGGTGAAATGAGTCGGATGAAATTAATACGCCCATTGCATACTCCAATCTCAAGAGGCTGGTACAAGTTCTCTTACCATCGCATTACAGGCTGCTGGATAATCCAACTTTGCATCGGAAATTATGCGCTTTGCCATATCCAGATTACATGACTTGTCGACATATACATGACAGATTCCATCTGGAAGTACAAAATTAAGACAGTCACTCTCTAACACAATCCAACTAAAGAATTTTATGGAAAAACAAACTTGAAACCGTACCAGCATGGCCTAGCACAGGGATTTTTGTAGTATTTTTTATCTGGGAAACAAGCTTGTTGCTGCCTCTTGGGATCACAAGATCTATAACGTCATCAAGCTGTAGCGCAAATGCAAATGGTGGTTTCCATTTAAACACAAGATATAAAGATTTGTTGCAGCTCCAAGTTTGTAAATCCGTTTACCTTGAGCAAATCAGGAATCTCTTCTCTTGAAGTCACAAGTCCAATGAGTTTACCCCCGACAGTCTCTGGAATTGCATCAGTGATCACCTAGAAATTTAAAATGAAATTAAATGGATCAATTATAACCAGCATATTTTGAGGAAGCCATATATGATAACATCCGAGTCTGAAATCTGAGGCACTGTACCTTATGTAAGATAGCATTTGATCGCCGGGCCTCCTTTCCACCCTTCAATAGAAGACCATTTCCACTCCGGATGGCAAGTGAAGCTATCTGTTTGGTTTGTGGATAAAACACAGGTTTCAGCAAATTCACATTCTAAGAAGATAAAAGGACATTGACTCTTAACATACCTGTACAAGTGCATCAGGTCGGGATTCAAAAACAATCAGGAGTACGCCTAATGGGGATGAGGTCTTCTCTAAGACAAGACCATCTGCCACCTGTAAAAGCAATTGTCACGATGAACGAATAGGATAAACAGCTATTATATGTCAACTACGAGGATACTCCTAGACTGTAAAACTTTATATAATAACAACTGTCCTCTGATCACCTCAGTTTTCTTTAAAACACGGCCAATTGGATCTTCCATATCGGCTAGCTTACGAACTGAAGCTGCAAGGCTTGAGATCTATCAAGCAAAACAAGAAAACATTAGAAATAAAAACAAGATATATAGATCATCAGGAGAGGTGAAATTGGCACAATACCACACAACACGAATACTGTCTTACCTTTGCAGGTGTCATAACTAAGCGAGCCACCAATGACTCTTCAAATCCAGCTTCTTGTGCTGCAGATACATCTAATTCATTCTCATCTCTGATTGTTTTTTCATTTGCTTCAAGAGCGTCGGCGATATTATACAGAATTTGTTTCCTATCTTCTGAAGATAAGGCCTGTAGCAAATTACAAGCAGTTTAAATACATCTCTACCGAGAAAGAAAAGATTTCTCACATCATAATTGTGGAAAAAAGATACGCATGCAGCAACTAGCAGTACCTGAAGCTTTCTGGAACTTTCTCTTGCAGCAACTGCCATGTCACGAGCAGTAGAATCTGTGATCGGAGCCCATTGACGAGCATCTTGATGGAACAAGGTTCCAACACGCAGTCCTCGGAGGACTTTATCTATGTTTTCAGCTGAATACCCACTTCAAAAGCAAGAAAAGTATCAGCTTTCTATCCAACAAAATATCTTTCGAATATTTCTCAATCAAACGTAAATTGTGGTATTTCGGAGGAATTAAGATGATGATATTCAGGGTCAGAACTGAAAGCGAGATCAAAAACACTTGACAAATTTGGAAAGCGTATTAATTATGCACAATGAATGTAAAAGGGCCCACACCTGGTTATGATGACAGGAATCCCAGCATATGCTGCATTCACTGCAGCTTTGACTTTTGCAGTCATGCCACCTCTTCCTAATCTTGACTTGTCGCCAAATGTAATCTCATCTTGATGTTTTTCCTTAATAAATGTGTGGATCAACTTTGAGTTAGGATCACTGGGAGGGCCTGTGTAAAGACCTTCGACATCACTCAGAAGAATCAGAAGGTCAGCTTTCAGTTCCAGCGCCAGTAGAGCAGCTAAGCTGTCGTTATCCCAAAAGATGCCAGAGGAATCCTGCGTATATTGAAATGCAATGAAGTTGAACATATAAGACTACGAGATTCATAGGAAGCAGCTAAATTCAAAGGAGTACTCATTTCAAAGGGACCAAAGATAGTCAACAAACCTGATATGGGGCTCTTCTGGTGCTTATAGCATCATTCTCATTGAAAATCGGAATAACCCTCAAATCAAGCATCGACTTGACAGTTTCATTAAGTTGCTTTCTGAAATCCTTGTCTCTAAAACTACTGTCATTCACCAGAAGTTGAGCCGCCGTCACATCCAGCTGACCAAAGAAAACAACAGGAAACAAAGCATCAATATTTGGAATTTTACACAGCAATTAAGAAAACGAGACCATATATAGTCTTCTTCCTTAAAAAAAGAAGAGAAAAATCACCTGGTCGAACATAGTCTCGTAATAAGCCATAAGACTGCTTTGTCCAACACCAGCGCAAGCCTTCCCATCAAGTTCACTCTGAGGCTTCTGAAGATCCGCAAAGCTGCAATCCATTAAGAAATAAACTCAGCACAAAACAAAAACTTTAAAATCATAAACACATCTCACTGTTATTCCCATCAGAAAGCAAACATAAGTCAATGGTCCATCACCCTTTTTGATTCCAATAAGATTAAAGTGAAATGATTGGTTTAAAAGTTGCCATTTTGCTTAACCTGCTATTGACTAATTGTCTGTATCGAAGCCTTTGCCTGCCAAGGCCAACCGCACCAGATGACACCAAAATCACCTCAAATCCATCCGAGTTTAATTCCGCAAGCTGACATTATAATATATATTTTACGAATTAAAGGTGCAAAATTGCATCACATGTATTTCGTGAAACCTTTTTACACAATTTAGGAATAAAGCAAAAAGCTGATTAATTAACATAGGTTAATGATAATTAAGGTAAATAATAAAAATCAAAATACCTGTTCACACAGTGCTCCTAAGCGACCAAGAGCCAATCTTCCACCTTTCCCAGTAACAACAGCGGTCCCAACCTATATTTACAAAAAAAAAAAAACAGAATATTAATTATCCGAATATTCTGATTCTTCATCACTCTCTGATGACATGCAGATTAAGATTCATAAGCGTGATTACGAGAGGTTTAATTTTTCCGAGACAAATGGTATTCAGATTCGAGAAACTTTTCCGTTGAGAGCTTTTCAATAACAGAGACAAACAAAAAATATTCAGATGCACGTTAAATCATATAATATTCGATTTTTCACATTACCGCAGATTTCACTCAGCCGCAAAAAACAGCTTAAAATGAAATTAAAAAACACACTAAACCCAATCCACATCGACAACCAACGACGACGAACACTTCACAGATTCAGACGAACGCAGAGAAAAAAAAACAAAAAAAAATCGAAATCAGCAATTAAGCCAAAAACAGTCGATAATCAAATCAAAATCTGAGAATGCGGACGTTTCTCAACGAAACACGGATAAGGAGATAAACAAACAGATACAAAGAGAGAGAGAGAGAGAGACGAGACCTTAACGACGATACGCTTGACGTCTTTGGCAAAAGCGCGTGAACGATCTAGCTCCTCCATTGTCGCCGCCTACCAAAACCCAGAGAAGGAACGAGTTAACTCAGTGGTGGATTTCGTCAGTGAGCGCGTTTAGGGAAATATCTGGTGAGGGAAGTGTGGAGATCAACAAGGAAGAGATGAAGGGGTTTATAAACACAACTTACACCAGAGAGTCAGGTCCTTCTATCAAACCAAGACGCGCCACGTGTGCGAGTAAGGGTATATCTGGAATATTAGATCCTAATCGATGAAGTGGCGCGCAGTCGTTGGGTGGCGCATCGTAAAGGGATTTGGGTTGCGTCGCAGAAGATAGTTACTGAGGTGGTGGGTATTTTGGGAAATTAAAAAATCGGCGGCTGAGGAAGCGCCGTGGACGTGAACAACACAAAGGCAAACGGAAATCAGAAGAGGACAAGTGAAAAGCGGACAGCGAAGCAATTTTAGATGACGTCTCTCTAGTGAAAAAAATAGGAAATTCACACCATCTTCTTCTTTTTTTTTTTTTATGCGGCGCCACAACATTTTATAATCATTTTGTTGTTTATATATTAATTTTATATTACGCTCTAAACCGATTTTGACACATTATTGAGTGCAATGATTACAATGTATCTGAATGAAATCATCAAAATTCTTGAGTGTAAATAAGCTATTTTCATATTGGATAAAGGAAACAAAACACTAAATGTATTCCAGGATGGCTAATGTAACATACAAAACGTTTCTTTCTCGCAACCTATAGAGAACAAAAGATATTGTATATACAGATCTGTTAAGAGATATTCAAGAACAAAAACCACTTGTGTGGTATCTATTTTCATAAAACTAGATAGATTGAAAATTTTCCAGATTCACATTACAAGCTAATACAAAATTCCTATAACAATCAGTGATTTTGAAGATTTTTTAAGATATCAGAAAACCTTTCCTATATGTTTTTATAATGTTAAATGAGAATTTCTCTAAACTACAGGCTTTTGTGTTTTATTATTTTCTATTATATTATTTTACTTTCTTTTTTCTACTATATTTCTATTTGAATTATCACTAGTTATGACTTATTAGAATGACTATAAACCTGAAATATTTGTTGAATGTTAAAAAAGAGGCGTATTTAATTAGTACTTTGGTCTACTGTAAAAACAAAGAAAATACTATTAAATAATGTATTGTTCATAAATTACTGAAATTTCCCGTATTCAATATTTGAAATGTCGATTATTAAAAACTATAAATAGCTTAATATACTCCAGTTAATTAAAGGAATATATATGGATATGGTTTGGCCGTAAAGTATTAAATTTTTTCTTCTTCCTCTATTAAATCCAAAAAAAACTCGAAATTAATAAACCAAATTATGTATAAGTTTGAGATTACTACTCCGTGACAATTTTAAAATAAGGTCAATGAGAAGAGCTCTTGGAGCACTTGTTGCTTCTATGTGGCATTCTCTGCCTTTCCTTTCATGTGACAAGCCCAAGTAGTCGAGGCTTGATTCCGATGCAAAAGCGAATTCCTTTTTGTAATTGCAAACTCTGAAGACGTACAACTTTCGTCTATACGAAAGCTTAAGGTTCTAGTTCTTTGGTGGTGTGCTTTCTGTATAGTTTTATATGAAACCTGTTTATAAGTATGCCCAAAGAAGAATGCTGCGCTGATGCAAGTAATTAAACAAAAGATTGTATAGTGGATCTTTCTTGTCTCGATACATAACAGATCACCCATAAACATTCGTTTGACCTTTGTCTAAGTTTTTTGTCTACGTAATCTCATTACTTACTTATTCGGATTAAAAATTAAAAACAACCCAATAACATATGTTGTGGTATTAATTTTGTTCGTTACGTATGTAATTGTTTGTCACTGGGAGTACGACCGGTTCAAATAGTTATTTTTTGCAACATTACAACAATCGTTGAGTAGCTGAGTCGGGGATTCAAAATGAGTAACTTCTTTGATTTGTATTAACAGAGTTTGATGTTATAGTCTATTTGAAATCGACTTACGAACTCTATGGTTGGTACATAGACTTTTGTACTTTTTTTCTTTCTTAAACTTGACATAGACTTTTGTAGTATAATCTTGCTGTTTAAAATATATAGTAATTATTAATTGTAGAGGTTTTCTCGTATCAAATGTTATATGGTTTTATATAAATAATAAAGTGGGAGATGTTTAAGTTGAAATCAATATATAATACAAGGAATGCCGGAAAGCTATTAGATATTCTTTGAAGAGGCAATTTTTAAAACTTAGAGATCTAGTTTTTCAACATGACGATGCTTTTCCGTCAGGTTTCGGATATTTGATATACTATGCTGAGATATTTCATTTTTATTTGAGTCGTCAACTCGTCATGAGTTTTTATTATATACAAAAGATTACAAAATTACAAAGATGTTAAAACTATAAAAGAATACAGATGTCAAAGTTTTTATGTTTAAAATTGGCAAAAAAAAACCCCTAAACTATGGAGGTTAAATCATTGAGCAATCTTGACATTATCAAGCTATATCAAACTGTGATGGACAAAAAAAAACTCTACGAAACTGAATATGTAAAAAATGTTGCATTTAGTAGTTGACTATTGAAGGTTTTGGATTAGTTATTTATTGTCAGATCTCTCCCAAATCGTATAGAATATTTGAAGCAAAGATTCTATGATTGTTAAATGTGTAAAAATATCTTCATTTCATTCAAAGGTTTTCTTGAGTTAGAACACACGGATAAAAAAAAAAAAGAATGTAGATTAGAGTTTAAATATGTTTTATCAATATCAATCATGATCACTGTAATGTTAAATTTCTACAAATTTGTCAATATTAAATAGGTTGGAATTTTCCAAATAAGTTGTTGGTTTTAGAAAATAAAAAATGACTTATTTGTGTTACAAATAGTTATGATAAAAAATTTGATATATAAATAGCCAAATTTCTAATTAATATTAATGTATGGTATGATAGAAAAATATGGCCCTTCCAACTTCTTTAGACTAAATGACTAATACTATAGTGTCTATGAGTGCCCTTCTCGAGATTCCCCAGATAATTTTTTTATTTTTTGCCCAGTATACATATGCCAAGATCATTCATTTCATTGGCCCTTTTAAGAGGCCAGAGATCAGTAAAAAAAAAATTAAAGAAGCCAGCGATCATCTGTGATGGATTCAGATGACTTAATTTTGATATGTTAAGAAATCATGATTGGACAAAAATCATAACTATTTAAATAACATTTGCAACTCACACCTGAAGGGTAATAGGGCTAGGATAATACTACATGGCAAAACCAATCATTAGCATAAAAGCATCCACATGAGACTAAAATAGTGAATAAAATTTCAATAAATGTGTAGCATATCAAATCTCTTACGTTCTCTAACGTAATGGGAATGGATTTTTCTCCCCCGCTAAAGAAAACAATTTACTGCTTTCCTGAAATTATGTCAAATTGCTTAGTTACATTAATTGTTGTTATAAGAAACTTAAATGCAATGAATGGTGCATGAGGTTTGGTCAAAAACATTGTTCCGAGTTCCGACGCTGATCTTAAATTCTTATCGATTCGAGTTTCCCACTTAGGTTTAATTTCCTTCAATTTATAAGTTTTACTTTCTTCCTCTCGCTCATTCTGATTAAATATGTTTCTCGTTAATGGAGAAGATGAAAACAAATAAAATAATCAAACGAATGGAAGGAGGCACATGGTTTGATGCGATTAGGGTCTCAGATGTCTGATTGTTTCTGAGGAATCATTGGTCCTATGTGCATGTGCCCTCGTTTTTAGCATTTAGGTCCACCAACTCCGATCTTTAATTTAGTAAAACAAATAGGCATTCTATTTGTTTTTTTTCCTATGTTTTTAATTTTTATTATGTTATTTAAACTAATTATCTTATTGTAAGTTTGTAACCAACGACATATCATTTTCAGGGATAATTATATAGACATTCATATTTAGACTCAAGTATGCATACACACGCATGCAGCAGCAGCACATGTGTATATATGCATATAATATTGTAGAGGAAAGATGCGATTTTGATAGGTATGTAAATAAAATGATAATGGAGTAGAAAGGGAGAATTACATTTTATGTTGTAGAATCATCATTCGTGAACGCATCCTATTTTGTTAGAATTGGTAAGTTATGTGATTTTTGTAAACTCGAAAGTGTATGGTCAGAGCAAAGCCTTTGGGAGTTCTTTGGGGGTTTTATTTTATAAATATTTTGCGTAGACAACTAAAAATGATCGGAAATGGAAATTTTCATTTCTTAGCATTTTGGGTAAATGATAAGAAGTGATGTTAATGTCTAACTCCCTTTTCTTTTTTGCATGAAATCAATCCACGTGTGGTTTTTTCAATATCTATAGTAGCATTAGATTGAAATAGACTCCGATGAAATGATGGCGTCAATGCAAAAGAAGCACAAATATTAGTAGTGGACCTTTTTTCTTTTCGCCTCATACCAATCTTTGATAATATATATATATATATATATAACACATACATAAAATATATAACGTCATACTCGAACACGATGTTTATAAGGCAGCAATGGATATTGCCTCAAAAAATTTGTGGCTTCTATTCAAAATTTCTAATATAGAGTACCCTAATTGTCCTGTGAATATTGATAAGAATACATCCTAAAATATAAATATATTTTGGTAATTTTATCACGGGTCGTGTTCAAATCCAAATGTTAATACCTTCTCTATAACAGTCAGGTTTGAGAAACCGCATATTCACGTAAGTTTACAGGATAGACTCCAAAAGAACGTTTTTTATTTTTTTAAAAAGGAGGAATTAAGTTTTGTCATGAAGAGATCGAATAAATGGCTACAATCTTTTTATGGGTACAATCCAGATTCAATGACCTCTTTGGATTTAAGTCACGAGAGCAAGTAAAACTAGGACACGTATCTAGTTGGGGAAACATGTAAAGAATAGGACATGGAGCTTTAGATATACAGGTTCCAAACTTGAAGACTCAATATTTACCCAAAAAAACAAACAAACTTTAAGGCTAAATGGAATAATTAGTGAGGCTCACGCTACCATAGGTATTTGGTTTTTTTTTTCTTTTAATTAATTTAACTACAATATTGAAAAATTTTGAGAGTGAGTTTACAGAAAATTCTTGTTGCAACGTACACAACGTGTTAATGGTAGGATATATTGGTCTTCTTAATGTTATAGAGAGTGGCTATATATATATATATTAATGTCTAAAAGAGTGTGATTCTAACTTAAAACAAAGAAAAGTATGGTGCCATAGTAGAAATATTAAAGTATAAATTGGATCGTTTCATATAATTATATTTCCAGTGTTAACAAACAAATGCTGGTCAATTTTGTATGACATCATCTCTCATAGCGAAACAAGAGCCAAACAAATTATTGTTAATCTTAAAATAATAAAGTCTTCCAAAATGGGTCCACTTGTCAATTATTCACATACTCTTCCAAGTTCTGTTACATATCTCTCCCATTTTTTAGCGTATGATCAGATAACGCTTCAAACCAACGGTTTCTCCGCACCAGTAGTCGCATATATACTTGATATATAATCTATGGATATGCCAAAATAAATATACTCCAAGAAATAAAAGGATAATAAAGGAACCGTCAAAACTCACATGCCAATCAAAACTAAAATTCGTGGACACGAGAATCCCAAACAAATAAGATAAATACGTTTACAAATCAATACATCTTGGTACTATACATGAAATCAGCTAGACCTACTCGAAAGTGGTTAGTTTTTATTAGTTCTTTTCAAGTTGAAACGTGCAAATTTTGAATGTCTAAGTTAAGTAAAAAAAGAATCGAACTCTTTATGAACAAAAGTTTTTATATATATATGATATATCAGCAACATCAAGCGTTAGGAAAAGTTACTTTGGCTTTTAGGGAACCGGAGAGATGTACAACCCTAAACTTTTAAATTCACCGTTACAAAAGCCTTATCATATTTAATACTTAAAATGTTGTGCTTCCATTTTTTTTTTTTTTTACTTTATAATATGTTTATGGGTATCGACTGGCCAAAATGAGAAGACATTTTTCGCTGGGCATAGATATAAGATGGATAAGATATTTCATTCGACCAACAAAAAAGAAGAAGAAGAAAAAAATAAGATAAGGTGATGGAGTATATATAGAACATGCTACACTTGGACAGATTTAATTGGTAAAGCTGCATTAATCATTATATTTTGCAGCCAATGTACTGCCGTCACGAGTCACGAGCGTCCAAAAGTTTAGTGCAATCACGTTCAAAGAGGAGATCCCTTCAAAGAGACTATTTCCCAAAAATAAGTATTTTACCTCAAATCAAGTTCAAAGAGAGCACTTTAAACTATTTATAAACATTTTGGAACTCCAACATTCCCTTTTTTTTTTCTTACGACATGTCCTCTATTAATTCCTTAAATCATCTTGCGTCCTAGACGCTAAAATAACTGTTAGAATATGGATTCCATATTTAACCTTTAGAAAACACGATAAACTCAAGAAAATACAAGCAAACGAGATTTATTTATTTCATCATTAGTTTCAGCAACCTGTTTTTGTGTGGTACTTTTTTACTACGAAATTTGCATTTATATAATATGAGAAGTAAATAGTCATAAGATAAGGATTGAATCAAACAAATTGGTGGATACATACAATCATACAAGAAAAACCTGTTAGAACTTAAAAGGACCATGTTTCTAATATTTTATTTTAAGCATTATATGCTTTTAATAACTTTAGGATATATGAAAGAGAGAAGTTATTTTGCTAATTAAAACGTTTACAAAAATCAACCACTAACATGTTTTTTTGTACTTCTCCATACAGAAATTGCACAAATACTTAGCATAATTTTGTTTTAATCACAAATGAACTAAGTGAATTTGGCCGACATATTTTTAGGTTTTTGAAACGTTTATATGTGGTGATAAGACGCAGATAGAGGAAGAAAAGTTGGAGGAATCACTATCATGAAATTAGTTAAAATAAGGTATTTATTTAAAGAATGATAGAGACAGTGATTGTCATTGGGCGAGATCGGGTTGTTCATAGAATTAATATTTGCTTTATTTACAAAGTTTAAATATTACAGTTGACTTGTTTTTCTGTGAGAGGGGTGAGCTGGAGAAATTAAATAATAATTCAAGTATTTTGGTTTGAGATGCCAAAACCAACAAGTAACTTAAGAGAACGACAAAACTGCAAAGTGTAAAGGGATTAGGAAGAGGATTAAGCAGTTAAAAAAAATTGTTGATTTAGTATAAGCAAAAATGGACGGTAATTAAAGACGAACTCGAGTCATAATCCAACAGCTATACAGGTTCTTGAGGGGTCATTGCTGTTTTACTAAAGATAAACGAACGATCATAATCGTCCTGCAATATAATATTAAAATCTTAATATGCCGAGATTTATCTTTACAATTTGTGTTTGCGTGATTTTGTTGGGATCTTTAACAAATAATGAAACGTAAACTTCATTAAGATAAAAGAGGTGGATATTCGAATATACCACTTTTTAATGTTGTATTTGTATGTGTGTGGGCTTCACTGCTTCTTCTAGATAACTAGCTAATTTTGAATTTAGAAATGTAAAAATAACATGACATATCTATTCTATCGGAGCCAATGAAGCAGGCCCGTAATTACTGTTTGGCCCAATGTTTCTCTCTCAACTTCTATTTCCGAACTTTAATGTTTATGTGAATCTGTAACTGTAAAAGATGGAGAGATAAGAGGATATGATGATCGTATACCACAAAACACACTGATTAAATCGTTGGAACAGTGATTATATGTTAAAGAAACGTGTACAAGAAGATATAGAGAGCTCATGCTAAAAACCAGAACTGATGATAAGTCTGAGAGGATTCTTGTCTCGATGATACATGGAGAAAATAATTTGAGTTGTTAGCATTATAAATCTTGCAGATATTTTTATTAATTTTCTATTCTATGAATGATTTGAAATAAAGACATATTTGACAGGTTCTCTATCATTCATCTAATGTGACCTTTTGACCTGTTTCTCTTCATAGTTCACATGCTCTGTACCGTAAAAGGTTTTTTTTTTTTAATATTCACTCTCTGATAGCTGCCATATTCCCTTAAATAAATAAAAAATTTTTTATCAAATGGTTGGCCTCGTGCAAGACTGTGCAGTGACGACAAATGCATTCCTTTTTTCTTTACCTTTCACTTTTTCAGTTTTCACAGGAGTACGAAATATATAGTAAAATCGCAAAAATCTTAAGAATTTTCTTCCTTTTTTTTCCTTTATTTTTTCTTACTTCACAAGCAAAACGTGATAACAAACAAACAAGAAAAACAATCCCAGAACAACCCAACTCACCAAACAAAAACAAATCGTTACATTACAAGCAACCATGAAACTAAGCCTGTAAAACGAATCCGAATGATTCAGTGTATATGTTCCTTCTTCTTTTACTTCGTGGGTTTCAGTCACTAGTGACATTCTTACTTCTTACCATAGCACATCAAAATCTAAAGGTTTTTACATATATATGTCTTTTTTTTGCGTGGAATGGATATCAAGGAAAGAACCAGACCTTGATGAAGATAGAAAGAATCATTTGCAGACCAAACGCTGCAGCCATTACAACCGTCAGATCATTGTTTGTCTCGAGGTAAGACCGTAGATTCAGGGCAACAAAGCACGACGATGCGCTACCAGCTAAGAGTATAATCACCCATCTCAGAAACTCTACTGGAATAAGCAATGGAAGCTGAAAAAAGAATGATCCTGACTGTTAGAAAGTTCAAACAGCATGTAGTCACTGAAAGTCAAGTACCAAACCATTTGTGTCAAGCACATTCATTTATCTTTACTGTTACTGTTCATCAAATTGGTTAACTTTAAACAGCGAAAGAGGCACAAGTTACTGGAGATACTTACAGAGGCTGGAACGAAAATGAAGAGAGAGTATCCCCAGAGGCACCAGAATCTCAAAAGATCAGCTTTGGACCCCATGTAACGGAGTGAGAAGTAAAATGCCAGAGGCACAATTATTGCATAGCCATAGATTATAGATGCTGCCAAATTTATGTAGTTCACATCAAAGTCCCAACGAGCATTACTGTCGGTTCGTTTCTTCACGAGATACGTGGCACAATTTCCGAGAGAAGCAAACACAAACACAAGCGTAGTGCAGATCCAGACAAGTCCATACCTAACAGAGCGATAAAATGCACACACGATCATTTATCTAGAAAATTTTGTTAAATTCCTCGCTTCTAGCCAGTCTTTAGAAGATTAACATGTTTTGTTAATTGAATATATGCACTTAATTTGCTGCTTTCCAGTCATTTGTCCAAGAGCAAAGGCGGAATTTTATGATTTTCATCTCTCGCTAGGAGTATAATAGGAGTAAATGCATCCTATTAACAACAAAGCTATCCAGTATCCACTAATACAAAGCAGTAAATATGCTATTTACTGACTCCTGAGAATCCACGATATATTGAAAATACAAAGAGAGCACAAATTAGTCTTTACTCAACCGGATATATCTTACTGTCAGTCTGTCAGACCTTAGGTTTCCTATTCAAGAAGATGACACTAAATCAACCTTATCACAATTTAACGCAGACTATATTATAGACTATGAAAATAGCTAGAAGCCTAAAATTTAGTGTCAGAAACTATTTTAACAAGGAACAGTTAACAAATAGCATATGGAAAATTGGATCTGGATGCAAGCTCACGTCTACAGTAAACCAGCTCCAGAGGAATATTAAAGCAGCAAAGTTTTATTAAACAAAAAGTTGACGCCAAGACAGAAAAGAAAAAGAGCAAAGCAGGAAGATCTCTCACACCAAAGATCCAGCTCTTTTCCCAGACAACATTCTTGGTTTCTAAATTCGAAAACTATGGTTTTACTCATCAAAGACCAATAGCTCTATTGGCAATCTCTACTCCAGTAGAACTACTTATCTAACATTGGCAGCAGAAATCTCAATAGGAGTTGCCAAAGAACTCTCACAGAGCAAGTGTAGTCACCAAAATGAGTCGGATGAAAGACATTGAGAGACTTACAAATCAGGATTTGCATCAATCTTGTTGAAAAAATCTCCACTAGTCGGATATAACGAGCTCATCAATCTGTTCAAAACAACGTCTGTGTCCACGTCGAAGTACTGGGTATATGAGTAGACGTTAAAGAAGCCCTTCCAGTTGTTTGGTGGCTGTTGTTCAGGTCCTTCTACAGGTTGAGATAGAAATAAATGATCAATAGTACAGAACAAGGTATATAGAATCTTGAAATGCAGCCAGAGTATATATATACCTATTGGGGTCTCAAGAGTTTGATAACCTCTTGCATTGTTTCCTTGATTTGGGGGAAATATTTGCATGTTTGCAGAAGGGCTTGCTATAATGTACAACACAAGCAACATTCAACGTCTTTCACTAACGAAGAAGTCATTTTCAAAACCGAGCAAGAGAGCATACCTTCATTTACGCTTGCTATAGGTACATTGGTGCTTTTCTTGTCGTCGCTGATCACAGCCTTACCGAAAAAGGAATATAGATTTTTGTATTAGAAAGGATAACAAAAGGTAGTGATAGATTCACTCGAAACATGCATCTTAGCAGTTTAGTCGAAGATCAAGCCATCATGCAAGCATTTAAACCCAGATCAAATTATGTTTCATAAAGTAAGAAACGACTCAAGGATCGTCTCCTCAGATGGAGAGAAACTTAAACGAACCTTGAGCATATATAGAAACCCAGAAATGCGAATTAAGGAAATAGTGGCCGGAAAGAAAAAAAAAGACAACGAATCTGAAAATTTCAAAATTTTATATATCGATGAACTAAAACCCCGTGAAGCGATTTTTAAAATTGGTAAAATCCCAGAAGAAAATGGATGTGTTCTAGACTTACGGGAACTGAACCTAGCAAATGGCTCGTCTGTAGATTAGCAAATGACTCATCCATGGCGCAGAGAGATAAGAATATCAAAGCGAAGCTTAGTAATCGAAGATAGATTCTTATCTCATTCAGAAATCGATACGATCGGAAGAAAAAAGATCGTCCCTTTCTCTGATATCTTTAAGGTTTCTGGGTTTTCTTCTCCTCCGTCGTCGTGGAAGCAATTGGGAAAGGAAGACGGAAACCACGAGAGACAAAATCCACGCGCGCTTTTTGAGCAAGTGAATCACACGCACCATTTACACGTGACTGGGCCATAAAATCACGAGATTCACAAGATTATAAACGGCCCATAGTAAAAATTTGACCCGAATTGATCCGACCCGAACAGACCCGACCCGTCCGAGGAACGTCGCGAGAATCCAGAGTGTTTCCCTCTTTGTCTTCCCTCCCGAAGAAAACTAAACGGAACCCTAGACTGGCTTATCACTCGCGGACACTTAGTTTTTCACCAACCCGAGCTCTCTGTTTGCCTCAATTTTTTGTTTTTGTTTCTCTACCGGAGACGATGGATACGGAAGAAATCAATGGTTTTGCCTCCGCCACGAGACCGATATCTCTTCCTATGCAGCCTAATTACAGTAGCAAGCCTGTTCAGGTCTTCTGCTAAATACTTTTTTGATTTTTATCGAAATTTTTGTTTCCGTGAAGCTTAACCCAGGTCTTAGGATATATAGGTGCTTTTGCTTTTAGCTTCTTTTACCTTGAGGATTATCTCTTCAGCTTCAGTGGGTTTTGCAGAGCTTATGTTAATCACGAATTTCTTGTTTATAACCTTGTTCGTGGGTTTTTTAAATCGTTTATAGCCCTTGGATATATCTGTCTACAGGCATTGTTGGTATCTCAGTGTAGAAACCCTTCAGTTTTATTTTTTTGTTTCTTCAATTGTAGCTTTTGTAACAGTGTGGAAGCATTTTCAATCACTTAGATTTCAGAAGTGTTGTGTTGGTGGCTAGCATTTTGTTGTGTTCCAATCACTTTGCTCTTGCCTGTTCAGTCATTTTAGTCACATTTCAAGAGAAAATTAAGAACTATTACTGGGTTGGCTAGGTGAATACGTAGTGCAGTATTGATTTTTGCATATTTAGTTATGACATTTGAACTGAATGTTCGGAATTGTTGTTTCCTTTAATATAATTCCATTGACATGCTTACTACAGGAGGCGTTGAAGCATTTGGCATCTATCAACCTCAGAGAATTGTGTAATGAGGCAAAGGTTGAGCTCTGTCGTGCAACCAGAGACTTCACGAGCTGTGGAAGCATTGTGAAATATGTGTTGAACCCATGTGGACATGCCTCCTTGTGCACAGAGTGTTGTCAGAGGTGTGATGTTTGTCCAATCTGTAGAAGTCCACTTCCAAAAACTGGAGATAAACTCCGGCTGCGTCTCTACTACGAGTGTGTTAATGCTGGTCTAATCTCTCCAACACATGAAGAGGTGTCACATGATTCTAACCAAGATGAACATCAATTGGCAGCCGATGTTCATCGCCTTTATTCTCTGTTCGATGTTGCCATGAACAACAATTTGATATCTGTGGTTTGCCATTGTATCCTTCTGCTGCATTTATGCTCGCTTTCAGATATATTAATTTCGTCTTTAGTTTCAGGTCCGATATTGCATCTCTTATAGATTTGTATGCATGTGTTGTCTCATTTACTGCTACTACCACAAATCTCCATATGATAAGGCATGTGCAGTTACACCTGTGTTTATATGGGGAAATACTGATGGGTTCATGTAATTTTAGGTAGTTCTTGTTCCCTGCCCCCTCCCTGATGAACATAATGTGATTAGTGTTTTTATCATTCTCTAAGAGGTGTTTTATGTACGGTGCATAATTGACATCTCCTTGACAGAATGAATAGATATCACCAATGTGTGTATGGATGAGACAGCTGTATCTAGTGATCCGGTCATTGCTTTCTTGCTGGACGAAGTTGTTGTCAAAGATTGGGTCAAGCATACATTCCGGAGCATCTTATCTGAGCTTCAGCAAATCTGTATCCTTTTAGCTGTTAGAATGTTTATGTTCCTTAAGCCAGTATACGTGTGCACCTTAAGGTCTGTTTATCTTTAATATTGGTTCTCAGATAGTCTTGAAACGAAAGAGATGGAAGCGTGGTTAGATAAACTCCTAAAGTGTTCGAAACAGGTGGCTGGCATATGTAGCGTGCTCAAAGTTATGGAATCAGCTTTTAAGGGTTCTGTTTCACCTCAGCTTCAAGACGTGCAGAAGCTTAGGGAGAACATTGGAAAATCGAAGCAGGTCAGCTAAGATCTTACTCTTTTATATCCACGCAGCTTTGCAAAAGTATGCGTTAATAACTCTCTTTGCTTGTTTCATATACGGCTTGCAATATTGTTAGTACTGCAAAAGCTTTACATTTAGATTAGATGCATGAAAGACATGATAATGCTCTTACATCATCGGCTTAGATCTTGATGGTAACAACTTATATCCTACTTTCGTGGTTTGCTCATTTTCTTCTTATTTCATTGGCATATTATTGAACGTGTTTGGGGATATTAACCTTTTTCTTTATATGACATACTAAATGATATCCAGGGATAAACCATATGGCTCCTGACCAGAGAGTCTTTTAACTCTATCAGCTCTTTAGTTATCGGTGCAACATCACGGAGTTTATGGTGTGCTTACCCTATTGTTGTTTTTGATTTTAGCATCTGGACATAATGATCTGGTGCATAAGGCACGGATTTCTGGAAGATGTGCGGTCTCGATATTCTGATTTCTCGTCGTGGAAAGCTGTTGTACGTGAAAGGAAGTCAAATGCAATTAAGCGTGCATGGCCTGATGCCGTAGACCAATCTTCAGATTGCAATGGACAGGGTGCTTCCCTCTTTATCGAGGATGCTTTAGAAAATCTTGAGATAGAGCCAGAGTATAGTCAGGGTATAGGGGCAGACCTAGAAGTTGGATGTTTGAAGAACAATGAGAGATCATTTCTTAGGTCCAAAATAGAAGGAACTTCAGGCTCTTATCCATTTGAGAATCTCAGAACTGCTGCTGACTTGCTCTTTTTACATGGCAGTTCAGATTTGGTTGTTGCGAAGCAGGCAATTGTATCCTCTTATTATCGCTTATGGTTCACATTACCTTGCACTTTACTTTTCGTATATATACTCCACTCTGTATTTCCCATGTTTTTCTTCTTCGCTAGTTTCCTTAACCAGGAAATAGTTTCTTTACTACCTGTTTGATCGACATTGGACTACCCCTGAAAAATATTGGAAGCACATTATAGATGATTTTGCTGCTACCTTTGGCATAACCAGGCATTCATTGCTAGAGTCTTCTGTGTTTTATCTTCTCGATGATCACTCAGAGGAGGCACTCCAGGTACTTTTTGGCATTCACAGGGAAAACACATGAAAATATGTATTCTTGTGCATGTTCTTATATTGTCGCTAGAACATATACATCGTGACATACACCATACATTTATTAACTAGTGTAGCTTACATACTTTTCCAAATTCTATTTCAGGAAGCTTGTAGGACTCTTCCTGAAATATGTGGTCCAGAAACCTATCCCAAGGTTGCACAAGTCCTGTTAGAAAGGGAAAACCCTGAAACAGCTCTGATGGTCTTGCGTTGGTCTGGTCGTGATGGCGTATCAGAATTGGTTTCAATTGGTGAAGCTGTCACAGCTGTTCGTGTGAGAGTGGAATGTGGTCTTCTGAGTGAAGCATTCACATACCAAAGGGCACTCTGCTTGAAAGTAAAGGAAAATGAATTGAAAATTGGAGCTTTGAAACACGTGTCAGATGATCTAGACAGCTGGAGTTGGATGGAGTGGATGGAGATACTTGTCAATGAATTCTGCTGTCTATCTATTAGGAGAAACTTGGTTGATCGAATCATTGAGTTACCGTGGAACCCAGATGAAGAGAAATATCTGCACAGATGCCTATTAGATTCTGCAATTGATAACCCTTCATCAGCTGTGGGTAGTCTTTTGGTTGTCTTTTATCTTCAGGTAAGTAATTATATTTTTCATACTTAAATCAACTTCACTTGAACAACATGGGCTGAGAATGGTTGTCACTACGAGAGTAGTTTTAGAAACAGTCGAATAGATATTAAGACAACAGCGTGAATCTCCAGAGCTTTCAGCTACATATCTCATTTGGAATGGAGGGGAATGGAGAAAAATTTCTATATGGGATTAATTAGCTTATCCTACCATACTGGTATAATTTTTTGTATTTGCTATCTGATGAGGGATTATCACGTTCCTGCAGCGCTACCGTTACATCCAGGCATACCAAGTTGATCTTAAGCTCCAGAAAATTGAAGAGGCTTTCGTATCAGAGAATCGAATTGGGGAAGAAGCAATGTCCAGAATGCGATCACAGAGTCATTGGAGAAAAGAGTTAGTTGTAAGTATTCCAGCTACCTTTCTTTGTATCAGTGGATTCTTCCTCTTTTCCTGGTTTTCTCTTACTTTCACCTTCTTGCATTTTATTGCTTAGTAGCCTCTTGATGCTTGCAGGATTGTCTGATATTTCTGAATCTTGAAAGGACTATGTATGTGCAATATGACTTGATATTGGGCTATTTCAATTTGAAATTTAAACCTTCCCGTGTTTCTGTTGCTTTGAAACAGGATAAAGCCATAGAAATACTTCCAGTAATTCAGCAGCAGCAAGTTAGATCTGGACAATATTCTGAGATGGAAGATACCTCTGAAAGTGCTTCGGAAGCAGCAAGAAACTCTGATCTTCCTGATGCACAACACCCTGAGATGATTACTTCTTCAGTTCCCTTGTCTACTAATTCCGTATTTCTTCAACGGGCTAACGATGCCAGCGGTAGAGAGCCAATGGCTAATAATGGCAGTCCTTTTCAACCCGGTCATGTAATGGGAAATGCTTCCCTTGATATTTCCCATGGAAGGTTATTTACAAGCAGAAATAGAGGACAGAAGAGTGAAGTTAGAAGCATAAGCAAGACTCTGAAGTTCGGTGAAGTGTCCACTCCGTTCAAAGATCTTAACAGAGCTCGTGGGAGCAGTCAGCTCAAAGGAAAAAGGACTGAAGAAACCTCTCCAGAAACAAATGTTGATAGATTCATGGAGAACAATATGAGCTCTCCTTATCTTCGCCGTGTCACAGCCAATAATCCTGTAACAATGAAACCTATCAGCAACCATCTCAATGGATCCGCGCAGAAACCGGAATGCTCTTTCTATGGCACTGGGAGGAGGCAACCAGACAAAGAACTCCCGTCCCATAATTTTGTCGATTTGGATGATCCAATGGACATGTCTTCGAGGTACATTACCTCTCTTCTTTAATAAAGTATTGTGTTACCTGTTTGGATTGCATAAGAAGTTCGGTTTAGTATCGGTTTGAGTTAAATTCTTTTGTTCACCCCTCTTATAATCTTTATATCCATGAATGGTAGCTTGAAGGACAACAACAATGTCTTGGCCACTGAGAGCAGAAATAACAATGGCGGATTGAGTTGGCGGTCAGATGAAGGAAGCGATGAGGAAGATGAACCAAAGTGGGGTATGGAACCGAGTAGTTCCAGTTCCATGCCGGTTAAGGGAAGAAGACGTAGATTCGCTGCAAGATGAAATCAAACAAACACTCAGACAAAAAAAACATCATCAATTGTGTTAAGCATAGATTGAGGGAGCAAGTGTGTAAAGAGGGAGAGATGGTAGAGTGAACTTAGTTCTCCTGATTATTTATTTTGTGCTGTGAAAAAATAATGATTTTGATATGTTTTTCTCCTTTAGTTTCCCTTTGTGGAGATAATTTTTTGGATATCATTTTGATGAACTTGACTGTTTATTTTTTACATTGGTAGCGTTATGATTAACGAACACCAAGAAATTGGTAAAATATTTAACAACGGAAAATTAGCCCTCAATTTTTTATTTTCTTTTCTTTTTGTCCTCAAGTTTCCTCTAATATTAAAGTCTAAGACACACGTTCCAAGTTCCAATTATATATAAGTAGGGCTCCGGTGGAAAAGGAACACAAAAAAACAAAAAAAAAAAGTCGACGTTACATTGGATTTGGTCGGCAAGGTAATATTATGCAGTTAAACCCTAGACCGTAATCTTCTGAGATAAAACACAATAAATGTTCCATGTCTGTATAAATCCAAAAAAACCCTAAGCGGCTAAAACGCAAGCCTCTTTCTCTGTTTTTGTTCGTGTGTTTAAATTCATAATCTCATATTATTAGGTTTTGTTGTGCCTTAATTTCGCAGGTCTTGTTGGAACCTACTATGGCGATTCGTGAGTTTCCCATGCTTTAGCTTTATACGATCCTTTCCTTCTTAATAAGTAGCTTATCGGATTTTTTGTTTGTTTTTGCAGGTCTTCAATATGATAACAATACATGTGAAATCGGGGTATATTCCAAACTCACCAATGCTTATTGCCTCGTTTCGTCCACATCAGGCTCCACAAACTTCTTCAGGTATTTACACTCTTGACATAAGTTTAATTAAGTTTTTCACGACTATGGTTTTATATATCACTTCAAAATGATTTTAATTTCTTTAGTAGTGGCTTTGCATCCAAGTTAAGAGGTGTTATTCCCATTGTTATGACATCCATAGGAGAAAGTGGAACTATCGGTACTCTATGTGTTGGAAAGAAAAACGGGCTTCTTCTTCCTCACACCACTACAGACCAACGTGTGACTGATTTCCACAATTACAAGTTATATAGTTTAATTTGGTGGGTTTTTTTTTTTTTGTTTTTTTGTAATGATTTTGTTAATTTTATAATTGAATGTGACAGAGGTTCAACATTTGAGAGATAGTTTGCCTGATAGAGTTTTAGTCCAGCGAACTGAGGAACCTCTATGTGCACTTGGAAACGCAATAGCTTGCAATGATTATTTCGCTCTTGTGCATCCAAAGCTCGAGAAAGAAACCGAAGAGATAATAACCGACGTTCTTGGTGTTGAAGTTTTCAGACAAACCATTGCCAATAATGAACTTGTAGGAAGTTACTGTTCTTTATCCAATAAAGGAGGAATGGTACGTACACTAGTTTGAATATGTATTTGTTTACATTTGTTTCTTTATTCCTATACAGTATATAATTATTTTTTTTTCAATTTGCAAAATAGTTCTATAAAAACTTAAAATGTTTTTTTTTGTGACATTGGTCTTTAGCATAGATTAATATGACTTATATTGGTGTTTCTTATATATTTAGGTTCACCCAGACACCAAAGTGGAAGAAATGGAGGAACTAGCGAGTCTTGTTCAGGTCCCTTTGGTTGCAGGGACAGTGAACCGTGGCAGCCCAGCGATATCCGCTGGTTTGACCGTGAACGACTGGACCGCTTTCTGTGGGTCAGACACAACTTCAATAGAGCTCTCTGTTGTCAATAGCATCTTCAAGCCCATCGAATCTCATCCAGATTTTGTCATTGGTGACTTGAGGAAGCCTTTTATCGATACCTATGTCTAAAGCCAACCAGTTCTTGTTTTTTTTTTTTCGGGTTTTACCAATATATGCTTCAAGAATCTGCTGCTATATGAAGACTCAAGTGTTTGGTAGCAATATCTTGATTTTTTAAAAAAAAGATTTTGGAAACTAATGACTCAAGTGTTTAGTAGCAATATCTTGATTTTTTAAAGATTTTGGAAATTAATTCTTTTTTTTTTTGGTTATTACTATTGAAAAAGATTCTAAAAAGCATGAAACTATCTTGATGGCCTGATTTGTTTTTACCAAATCGGATAATGAAAAGTCAACCATCTTTTGTGCAATATGACGCAAGAATTAGCAACTTCTTGGTGTTCATTAATCCTTCGGATCTCTGTTTTTCAATTTCAGAATTTTGAAACAAAGCCTTTTTTTGTTATTAGTATTCAATCATTTTCTGTTTTTTTTTTGTTATTAGTATTCAATCATTGTTTTTATAAAACCTCCAAACAACAAATCTCCCCATTCAAAATCAATGGGGAGACAAAGTCTGTCCTGAGTAGTCTATTCAAAGTTAAAACAAACCTTTGTGTGATCCATCCAATCCAAATCAAGACCATAGCAAGATAGCACAGAACATTAAATATTGTGAGTGTCATTGATAAGTTCACAAAGGAAAAGTTCCGGTGAAGCGGATATGATCGAGTGTGCGACGCAGACCGTACTTACAAACTGCTGCATTTGCTGCTCTGAAACCTCCTCCATAAGCCGGAGATGCGTCATGAGCTATCTGATGCTTAAAGAACTCTCCAAGTTTCTTCTCCACGTTTGATTTCCCTCCTTTCTTGTAAGAAGACGATGATGATGATGATGATGATGACGTGGCCGATGATGTTGATGGCAAGTTTCTTGATGAAGGATCTGAGAGAACTTCAGATTCAAGCCACATGTAAGAGAGGACTTGGCATATTCCTTCCTCTACCTCGGGGTTAAGGTTCCTATAGCCTAATGACATAAATAAGCATACATTAAGATGCTTTTTTTTTTTGTAGGAGTACTAACTTAGTGAACAAGAAATTCAAGAAACGTTCCCAAATGCTTACATCAGAACGGAACTGAAAGTGTTTTTGTTAATTAGGTATTTTAAAACCAAAAAAAAAAAAAAAAACTAAAGAAAACAAAAGAGTTTTATCGTACAGGAATGAAATGAAATTAATATTAATAAAATACTGTTTTTTAAATTATGTATTGCAATAGATAAGTACCTTTGAGCCTAAGCCATCCATGCATCAGCTCGTGCGCAAGAATTGCTCCGGTTAGTAACCTTCATCCACCAAAGTTCCATGAGTTTAGTGATCATTCAATATTTTTTTTTTTGTTTGTGTGTGGCAATGTCGAAAAGCTAATTTGAGAATTGAGCAAGTAATAAGTACCTTGGGAGGCCGTAAAGAACGAGAATAGCAGTGACTTCACATTTGCGTGTTAGCTTTTGAGGCTGAGTTCTCATACCAACAAGACGGTGAGCGCCAAGTCTCGGTCTTTTAAGAACCTGTGAAGAACCAAAAAAAGGAAAAAAGAAAAAAAAAAAAACAGAGCAAATTAGTGTTTAGAATCAGAAATTAAGTTAGTTTATATAACAAGACTTTCCAAAAGACTTACACTTGTGACAGTCTGTTCTTCAGACAAACATAAACCCCTTGTCTCAGGCATGTGATGGTATCCCTATGGAAAAAACAGAAGAATACTAAATTTTAGATAAAAATTCAATGAAAAATAGTTTATGTGTAATGACGAAAAGATGAGAGAGTACGTTTTTCTCTCCAACAATAGCATCGTTAAGAGCTTCTCTTTGAACAAGAAGCATAGGAATCTGTTGATCAAGTTTCATGTACATTCCTTCGTAATAGTCTCGTATTGAGTGGTAAAGTGGTTGACAATCTCCAGTGTCAGTTATTGCCGTTTCCATACATTCTAGGCATAAACTTCTCCCATCTTCTAACGTGTAATATCTCACATCCCATGACTTCATCATCACAACATAGAAAGAGGTTTTTAAAAGGGAAAGCAAAAAGGAAATAAAAGGGAAGTAACAAAAAAAACATAGAAAGAAGTTTTAAAAAAATACATTTGATTTGTGAAAAAAAGAGGTATATCGATAATTAAGAAGGGATTTTAATATTTATAGTTGATACCTCCAAACGCTCGCAGCTACAACAACGAGCTGTTTTATCGTATTCGTGAGACGGGCAATACTTTTGATTCCAAAACGGATGGCATCGATACTCGATCAAGCCAGCATCATTAGTTGGGATCTAAAGAAGAATAATATGAAATTAGTCCAATATATAACATGTGACGTGCAAGAATTTAATAATGTCATTTGTATAGCTAGATGCTTACAAAATGGTGACAGACTTCGCATTTGGGATGAGTAAGCTCTTTGAAACAAAGCTTATGATAGGGTTTAGTTCCTGACAGAGAGAACTTGAATCAAGAGAGAAGACAACCTTAGCCACTTCGAAAAGACATTAACAAAAAAAAACTAAGAATATAATGTACACAAATAATATAAAGTGTATATATACCTCATGCTCGGTGATTGCGTAACCACAAGAATGGCAACGGAAGCATTCAGGATGAAAGAATGTGCCCATGCATCCTAGATAGTTCCCCATTCCAATATCGCGATTACAACCACCGCATATTCTGCTAAAGAAGTGAGCAAATTAATAAAACGTTACCAAAATGCGAAATTGGGAAATATATAGCTGAATAAGAGAGTGTGTTTAGTTGTACCTTAATTGTCTTCGTCTGCATTGATAAGAAGGTTCATAAGGAGGAATGAAAGATGATGGATTCAAGCCACCGTGAAAAGGCCTGGGAAAACCTCGGTTATTATCGATTGACCAACCATACCCTGCGCATATATTTTTATTTTTTTTTTGTAACAAAAAAAATTCAATTTCTTTTGTTTTTTTTTTTTTCTCGTGACCTTTGATTTCTCTCTAATTTAATTAATGAATGTAGATAGAGATACCATGAGGGCGCTTCGTATCGTCAGCTTGAGAAAGTGAAATTGCTCGGTCTAGTTCTTCCTTGTCCCGTGCAGCTCTCGACCGATCGTCCTGATTTGTTAACATGACCATCAAACAAAAATATGTGTAAATTAACCTCTTTATAACACAAGTCATATACTTTTATGGCTGCACGTCGAAAATTTCAAGCTGGATAGTGATGTTCAATTTTGCAATTTATCTAGAATAATTCTTAAATAATGACATCATCAGAATAAAATTGAACTTGATGGAATAATTTAACACATGTCAACTTTTTGTGCTTGAGTTTGAAATTTTAATTGTCCACCAAGTAGATTTCATCTTTTAAAGATTCTAATGACTAAATATCATTAGTAGTGCTTATGGGTATCAAAATAGGCCACGTCAATCCAATTCAACCCTTCTATCATGCATTGTGTGTTTATTTGTTTATTTCACATTCCCACAACCCAATGAGCTGTGCAGCTCATACTAACTTTAAAATATCAAAATCGTTACTAATTATATTATATGAAATGTCCCTTCGGGGACATCCGATAAAATTATATTATATGAAACGAGTCGAAAATATCTCAACTCATCCCACAAACAATAGTCCTAATTGAACCAACATATATATATATATATATATATATTGCTCAAGACAACATTGTCACATCATCTCAGTTTAAGCATTAAAAGCCAATGAGACCCATGACAACAATAAATATTAAATGGACCAAATAATTGTTAGTTTTCATGGATGTGACAATTTCATAGAATGTACAAGAGGAACAAGACGGAACAAGACGGTCAAGACCCGTGATATTTCAATAACATAAGGGAAACGGAAAAACAGTAGTGATATTCACATGTGTTATGCATATTGCTTTACTATTAATTATCACATGTCTATAGTATATGTGTCGAAAAAATTAGAAAGAAAAATAAATGAAAGGAGTTTAAAATTTTAATTAGAGAAATTTAAATTATAATTAAGAAAATAATTACCAAAGAGGAAGGAGGTAGAGGAAAGACCATATTCTCGTCTTCTTGAAACTGAGGAGGATGGTGATTAGCGCGAGTAGCACCACCACCATTAGAGCCACTCTTGAAAAGCTTACTCACCCATTTCATCAACTTCCATTTCTTCTCTCTGTATGTTGACGAAGAGGACGACCCAACTTCCCCTGTATTTATCAAAAACGTTAGGTTAATCTTTCACTATTAAGTCCAAAGATAGAACTATGAAACACTGTGCATGGGAGATTTGGTGACTTGGGATTGGGTCTAAATGTCTTATTCATGGCAGGCTTGAGAGAAACTCCCTTGGGACTAGAAACGTCGAAAAGGGTAGAAAAAGAAAAAGAAAACGCACCGAAGATACAAGGATTAGATATATGGCTGACACGAGAAACACCGTTGGAAGAAGAGGAAGAAGAGGAAGAGGAAGAAGAATCCATGATGATGAATAATGGCCCACACGCGTTTATATATACTTGAAAACGTGTGGGTGAAGCGAAAGCGACGGCCGGAGAGAGAAGCAAAGAAAAGAAGAGAAGGAGGAGGAAGAAGAGGGAAGAGGGGAGAAGAAGAAGAAGAAGAAGTTGTTATGAGTCATAAATTGTTATTAGAGAATAAAAAACACATACGAAAAGAGAACAAAGAAAGAGAGAATCTTTGCAGAAGAGATCGGGGCAAAAAAATTTAAAGAAAAAGAAAAGGAAGAGATGCTTAGCTTCTGAAAGGAAAGGAACCGAGAGAAAGAGATGTTTTTTTTTTTTTTTTGGCTAAGAGAATATTTATATATGTTTTGTTTTGCTGAGGCGGAGAATCCCTCAAACAACGGTGCAAGAAGGAGGAGGATAGTTGAAACCTTTTAAAGCTTCTCTCTTTTTCATTTTTTTAAAAAGATTATCTTTTTTCTGTTGGAGAGAAAAACCAAAAAGTGAAAAATTTTAAACGAAAGCAAAAAAAAAATTCTTCTTTTTGGGTTTTGATGGAGACGCTCGTCCCGTCGGCTCCAACTATTCCAAATAAGTTTTGCAACTTTAGTTTTATATTTTGTCAACATTTTTGTAACTTTAGTTTTTTTTTTTTTTTGTAGACTTGTAGTTTAAGAAGTATTTTGATGTTGTGAGGTTAGTTCTTCGATTTAGTTTTTCCAATTTTGAGAAAACTTGCATTAACATTTAACCCATATATTTAAGCTTATGTTATAGAGTATATAGTAATAATAGAACCGAGAGAGAAAGCATAGTGTGAAGCAATATATGTCATAGTGGAAATGGAATGGGAGAATTTTAATGAAACTTAGCCAAGTTGAGAGATATGAGTTTTGAAAATGTGATATTGTGGATTGACGATTTAATTTGAGGAGGGGGATCGGTTTACACTTTGCCAGTTTGCTTTTAATTGGGTCCTATTTGTTTGCTCATTTGTCATTTGCATCTAAATGATCTATTTAAATGATTCATTTGGATGAGTGAGTCATCTGAGTGATGCACATAATAAATGAACAAACAAATATTTAAATGAGAAATTGACAAATGAGCAATGAAAATGAGATTTTATGTTTTTGGCGAGAAAATGAGATTTTACGTTTTAACGAAAAACAAGATTTTATGTTTTCTACGAAAAAATAAAATTTTATGTTTTTTGACGGAAAAACAAAATTTTACGTTTTTTGACGGAAAAAACGAAGTTTTACGCTTTTTGAAAGAAAAAACGAAATTTTACGTTTTTGACAAAAAAACATGATTTTACGTTTTGACGGGAAAACAAAATTCGTTTTTGAAGGGAAATCAAAATTATAAGTTTTTAATGGGAAAATAAGATTTAATGTTTTTAACGTGAAAACGAGGTTTTATGTTTTTTAACGGGAAAACGAGATTTTACATTTTTTTACCAAAAAACGAGATTTTTTTAACGAGAAAACAAGATTTTACGTTTTTAACGGGAAAACGAGATTTTATGTTTTTAACCGGAAAACGAAAATTTACGTTTTTAATGGGAAAACAAGATTTTACGTTTTTAACGGGAAAATAAGATTTTATGTTTTTTGACAGAAAAACGAGATTTTATGTTTTTAACGGAAAACGAGATTTTAAGTTTTTAACGGAAAAACGATATTTTACGTTTTTGACGGGAAAACGAGATTTTATGTTTTTGACGGAAAGCGAGATTTTACGTTTTTAACGTTAAAACGAGATTTTACGTTTTTTAATGGGAAACCGAGATTTTATATTTTTAACAAAAAAATAAGATTTTACGTTTTTTGACGGGGAAACGAAATTTTAAGTTTTTGACGGGAAAACGAGATTTTACGTTTTTTGACGGAAAAATAAAATTTTAGATTTTTGACGAGAAAACAAGATTTTATGTTTTTTTACAATAAACGAGATTTTACGTTTTTGATGGGAAAACAAGATTTTATGTTTTTTTACGGGAAAACGAAGTTTTATGTTTTTTACGGGAATACGAGATTTTGCGTTTTTTACGGTAAAACGAGATTGTACGTTTTTGATGGGAAAACAAAATTTTATGTTTTTGATGAAAAAACGAGATTTTACATGTTTTATCGAGAAAATGTGATTTTTTGACTGAGTCATATTCATCCAAATGCTTCAAATTGAATCAATTGGATGAGTTTCAAATTTCTTCATAAATTTATAAGTCATCCAAATGATTCATCTAGATGTATCATCTGGATGAGTCAATTTATGTAATTAAACAAACATCATTTGACTGATTCATCTGGATGATCCATCCAAATGAGCAAACAAACAGGCCCTTGATTGTTGAACACTACGGTCAGTTGTGGCGCAGGTCTAGTTTCATTCTCGCCATATCTTGTAACTTGTTGCCTGTAACATGTATGTTTTTAGCCGTCAGGCATTGTTAGATTATGTACTAAATTGTTTAATTTAGGCTATACACGATAAAGATGCGCTTTTGCAACGTTACCATAAAATAACTTTATAAAGGTCATTAAACTTTTATGAAACGCAAACGACAGACCAATTATAATAATATAATTTGGGGCATCAATCGATAGGGAAGGTCGTTACCAGTGATGACGCAACAAAGGTGAAAGAGGCTTCAAAGTGGAATCAAACACCCAATTTTTACAGAGCAAAAGCCTAACCTATAATTATTTTAAAGATTTTTTTCAATTTTTTTTTGTTATAAATCAAAATAATAATATGGATTAAAGACAGCATCAGATCAAATCTAGCTTTTGCAGGAGCAGTTTCCACCTTGAGATCTGACCATTTCTTCACAACTTGCTAAAGTCGATCTATGTATGGACGATCCCATACCTTATTTTAATCAAGGCTGCTAATTTTGGAATCTCGTTTTAATGAAAAAAACAATATGTATAATTTTAGACTAATTCTTTTGGTGTCATTTTATGAATTCAATGTAAATTATAATATGTAAAAGTCCAATTTACTGTATTTAAAATTGATAAAATGTAAAATAGAACATAAATTCAAGAGTCAACTTTTTGTAGACATATAGTTGAATTTCTAACTTGTTTCTTAATTAGCATGCAAAATGTCAAAAACAATATTTTGTGTTGAACCATATATATAGAGTATATTTGATCTTAAATACTGATTCCCATGATGATTTGATTCTAGTCTGGGAACTTTATAAGTTTGATTGTTAATATGATGATGATGATGAAGAAATTAATGTTGTTTTTTTTTAGTCGGATCAGTTTATTTTTGAGAAATACACCTCGTCTACTTATAAAATAATATAAAGTATAAAATCCTGTAACAAAATAAAGTAAATTTATCACAGAAATGTGAGGCTATTGGCTGAGCACGAGTAGCCGATGCTAAATCTTAGATCCACAGCATTTGTCTTTAATAACCTAAAATCCAATAATTTACTTTCTTATCATATGAAACATCTTATCCAAGTTTTTAAAAATCTTTTAACTTTGTATCTGTAAAGATTTTTGGTGAAAAAAAGCCTTGAGATGAGAAGAAACGTGGATGTGAGTTGGAAAGAATGAATCCCTTTACGATATTTCACCCCAACACACACGAAAAAAGAAAGAAGAAACTTTACGATCGAAAAAGAAAAAAGGAGACATAAATAGTGTTTGACATGATCACTCCGACCCGACCCGACCCATCCCATATTAGTTTCATTTGCAAACCAAAATAAGCCAGAGACTAATCTAAGTTGTACTTTGTTCTTTATAGTTTTTGAAGAATTTATCAGTATGCAAATCTAGAATATAACGTAATTATCCAAGAGGGTGCTACGTTTAGAAAAGAGGTGATTTAGTACATACTGATACAGTGATACTACACATCACAATTCATAACGCTAGAATATAAAGTTGAAGTCATGAAACATTGTTAAATATCCCAAATGATTTGATTGAATACACCCTCAAGTATATATATTGTTGATTTTTATGTAGATTTTAAAAATAATTGTGAAAATTGAAAGTGAAGAATGATTGATTGAATACACAAAGACACTAATTAGTGGACTAATTAACGGCCCAATGTCCGTCCATTAAGCTGAAGCCGTTTTGAGGACTAGCAAACGACGTCGTCGTGTATTAGTTTTTGACTTTTTGTTCCTTTCTTTATCACTTAGACCAAGTCCAACGCAAGGATGGAAGGGGTTTATAACAAGGGTTCAAAACAATATTTGGGCTTATTTTAATCAGTTGAGCCCATTTTTTGCGTGAACCGATCCTAATATTAGAGTTTGCAGAACCTGTTATTGATGGGGTTCAAGAGTGACGTGGCGATGGCTAATTGGTTTGAACAATTTTTTTTTGGGAAAACCTTTTGGGGTCTTTATTTGGTCGAGACAAATCGACACTTCTTCGAAAAACTCTATTTCTCTTCCTCTCTTCCGCAAAACTTCGCCAAGTGATTTCGCCGACGTTTTTTAACCAAATCGGAGAGTTCTGCTTCGAAATCGGAGAGGATTCAGGTGTTTAAAGTCTCTTGAAACGCCAACGATTTGTTTAAGGTATGTATTCGAGTCGAATAGAACTTGATTTGGAGAAATTAGGGTTTTCGCAAATTGGGGATAAATTTCAGTTCCACTAAAATCGGTCTTCCGAGATCGTTTAGGGTAATTAGAACCTGCAAACCTGTATTTTTGATTTGATATGTTAAACGATTTCATGGTTAAGATGTGAAGCAATTTCAAAAAATCATCTAACATCTGGGTTGTCGGATTTATGGATTTAGCGAATGGTTTTGGTTTGATTAGTGGATTTAGCAAGCTGTATCATCTGTTAAATGATGATTTGAACATGGATTTGGGATTTACCGAGTGATTTCATGTGTTAACCGATGCTCATTTGATTTAGCTTGTAGTCATTGATTTCTTTGACATTAGGTTGGCTTATGTAACAAGAACATGCTTTATCTGTTATGTAACAAGAACATGCTTTCCTTAGAGAATATATAAGCTAGTATTTACAGCCATTTCCTTTGTCTTTAAGTAGGTTTTTTCTAAACCCAGCTACTCTCTAAGTTTTAGTTAACTCTGTTGTATTAAAAAGTCTTGTAAGCTATGCTATGTAGTCTCGAAGAACTGTTGTTTAACTTTTGGTAATGAGGCAATGTTATGGTTAGTATTGGTTCCATATTGTTATTGGTTTCGTGTTGCATCTGCGGTTTGGTTCTTGGGCATCTGTTTCTAGTTTCATTTCCCTTTTGCAGATTAGATTGACTGTACTTGTATTAATGCTATTCATTTTTTTAATTGCTTTGAGGTGAATTGGAGTAAATTGTGGCGTAATGAAAGTAACTACCAGAAGTTGGTTCACGTCTGCTTCGTATTTAAGGTTAGTCTTCAATCTGTAGTTATGTGTATGACTTGTTAATAAGTTTTAAGGGTTAAGGTCTTGTCATTACCATAAATGTTTGTTTGGTGAGTAGTTAAGTGTCTGTTATTATTGCCGTGACAGTTTGCTGGTTAGAGTAGGTTAGCGAGTTAATGGTAGTTAAAGTTAATAAGATTTCCCTCTATAAAAAACACAAAACAAACCTAAAACACACCACAGAAAACAAAACTTGAATAAACCTAACTTAAAAAGTTCTTCCAAGTGCTTCCTTCTAAACCCTTCTTTGTTAACGTTTTTAAGTTCTTCTTTCTAAACTTCTTCCTTGAATACCCTTTTCTCTTTTTAATCCTTTACACGAAGATGGATTCCACAAACCCTGCCTTGACTGGTTTTGTTAACCTACTAACCAGTCAACAAGAAAACCAATACACTTTCCCAACAACCATCGAGCTTGGATCAGCCGAACCTAGGTTTAGCCAGTTTACACTTGAAGAACAAAGCGGACCTGGTGAAGATCGTAAAGTGGTGCGACGGCAGTGGACACCGACCGAGGACAAAGTCCTCATCAGCGCTTGGTTAAATACAAGCAAGGATCCGGTGGTGGGAAATGATCAGAAGGCCGGACCTTTCTGGAAAAGAATCCAGAAATATTTCAACTCAACTCTCCAACTAGTTGGTGCGAATGCAAGAGAGTCGACTCAAGTTAAGCAGTGATGGGGAAGGTTGAATAACGAAGTCTGTAAATTTGTCGGGTGCTTTGAAGCAGCAATGAAGGAGCAAAGTTCGGGGATGAACGAAAACGATCTGATGAAGGCTGCTCACGAAATTTACTTCAACGACTACGGTGCCAAGTTCACTCTTGAACACGCCTGGAGAGAGCTGAGACACGATCAGAAATGGTGCTCAAAGCTGGCTGGTAATGACGGTGGAAAGGCAAAACGCAGAAAAGTGGACGACAGTTCTCCACAATCTCCAAGTACCCACCCAGACATCATCCCCGATGATGTACCCCAGACTCGTCCACCAGGGATTAAGGCTGCGAAGGCGGGCAAAGCCAAAGTGAAGGGAAATGGTTCAGCGGCTCATAAAGCAGAGGGAAACCCTGTGGTGGACATGAAATCAATGTGGGAAATGAAGAGACTGGACTTAGACCTGAAAGACAAAATTTCGAAGAGGAGATTGCTTGACAGCCTTCTCGTAAAAACTGAACCACTGACTGACAAAGAATTGGCTTTGAAAGACATACTCATTAGCGAGATGTTGTAGAAATTTGTCTGTTTTACTTGTTTTCAATATGTGTACTTGTTTTTGTTTGTCTTTGTGCTATGTTGCTGAATTAGGTGTTCATGTACTTCGTATTTGTTCTTGTTCTATGCCATAATGAATTTTTTGTTTGAGTGTGTACTTTGTTGTATTAGATTTAATTTGTGTTTGTTGTACTTGTTGTTATTCAATGGCTTTGTACTTTGCAGATATTTATGGAGAGTCATCGAATACAAAGCTTCTTTTGTTTGTGGAGTAGAAGCTCCAGCTTTTGGTGTTTTGCAGAGGCATCGCTCACGGGTGTTTTGCAGTGGAGAGGCATCGCTCACGGGTGTTAAACTTGTGGAGTAGAAGCTCCAGCTTTTGGTGTTTTGCAGAGTCGTGGAATCTATACAAAGCTTCTTTTGTTTTCATTTGTCACGGGCTTTTCTATCTTTTGTAACTTGTATTTTTTGTAACTTGTCATTTCTGTAACGTGTAGTTTCTAATCCACACAATATCAGGGATTGTAAGCCACAAAAAGTTCACCACTTCTCTTATTTATACGATCATTGGTGCTCTTCAAACACACACTCTCTTCTTCTTGTTTCTTATCTTCCACCCAAATTTTCAACTTTTATTCAGACGCAAACTATCTTCTTCTTGTTTCTTATCTAAACCCAAACTTGTTTCTTATCTAAACCCAAATTTTCAAGTTTTATTCAAACACAATACACTATGGCATCTTCATCAAATGATCCATTCGACACTAATCTTGACCAACGTTTTGATGATCTTTTTGATGATTTTTTTGATCAGCAATTTGATGAAACGTTTTACCGTGTTATGGAGCAGCAAGCAACAAGAAAACCCAAGAAGAAGCGGGCATATATTGAAAGAGAACGGGAAGAAGGGCACAACCGGTTGTGGAATGATTATTTTCGTGACGATGCCACATATCCGGCTCAAACATTTCGACGTCGGTTTAGGATGGCCAAACCGTTGTTCATGTACATTGTTGAACGTCTTTCCACAGAAATCCCATTTTTTAAACAAAAAAGAGATGCTGTGGGAAGATTCAGTCTCTCCGGACTACAAAAGTGCACGACAGCTATTCGAATCATGGCCTACGGTTGTGCGGCAGACGCTGTTGATGAATACCTTCGCCTTGGAGCCAGTACGGCAATTTCCTGCTTGGAAAATTTCACAGAAGGCATAATACAGTTATTTGGAGATGAATACCTAAGGAGACCAACACCGGACGATCTTCAAAGGCTACTCAATATGGGCGAGAGGCGCGGGTTTCCCGGGATGATAGGAAGCATTGACTGTATGCATTGGGAGTGGAAGAATTGTCCTACAGCCTGGAAAGGTCAGTATACCCGTGGTTCTGGAAAACCGACCATTGTCTTAGAAGCAGTAGCATCTGAAGATCTATGGATTTGGCACGCTTTCTTTGGACCTCCAGGTACTCTAAACGACCTTAATGTTCTTGATCGGTCTCCCGTATTTGATGATGTTTTACAAGGGAAAGCTCCTAAGGTGAATTACATGGTCAACGGTCACCAATATCATTTGGCGTACTACCTCACGGATGGAATTTATCCCAGATGGGCAACTTTTGTCAAATCCATTCCGCTTCCACAAGATGAAAAATCAAGGTGTTTTGCTAAACGTCAAGAATCTGTCCGTAAAGATGTTGAACGTGCTTTTGGAGTCCTCCAAGCGCGCTTTGCGATCGTCAGAAATCCAGCGCTTGTTTGGGATAAAGAAAAAATCGGAAAGATTATGCGGGCATGCATCATATTGCACAATATGATAGTGGAAAACGAACGAGGAACCTATACCCAATTCAATCTTGCAGATTTTGAACAAGTCGACGCTAGCAGGACTTCACATGTGGATAGGACATATTCAACATATATGCCTACAAATATTTTAAACTTGATCGGGAACCGGAAAAAAGTTCGTGATAAGGAAATACATCAACGTTTGAAAGACGATCTGGTAGAACATATTTGGAACAAATTTGGGAACTCCGAAGATTATGACTAAATCGTTTTATGTATTCAATATTTGTATTTTGTATTTTAAAATATTCTTGTCATGAATAATAATTTGGTTTGTAATTATATATATGTATGTTACAAATTTAAATTTGTTATAATTTTTAATAAAAAAATAATATTATTTTATTTTCATGAACCTCATTACAGGTTCAAGGTTGGAACCATAAAAAAAAGAGAAGTTCTTAACTTCTAAACTTCCACAAAAATATTACTAAAAAATCGCTTAGAACCCCTATATGAGGTTCAGGGTTGAACATGCTCTTATCTCTCTCAGTTTCAATTTTCAAAGAATTTTAAAGGTGCTAAATTCGTCTCCATCTCCGTTTTCCGATACTTTTCTTTCGTTATTTTCTTTATAATAATGTAATTCGCAAAATTAATTCGAACTAAAACTCGAAAGTAATTGCGCGTAATTTCTTTTATTTTTTCCACTGATTGATTGCATTTTTTCTCGCAGCTCCACTTCTCGGGAGCTCTTTTCGTTTTGGGGTTGAAAAAATTAGGGTTTTTTTTTGGGTGTGGTTCTGTTAATGGCGACGACGCAGGGGCAGCAAACGGCGATTGACCCGACGGTTCTGGATGATATAATCAGGCGTCTCACGGAGGTCCGGTTAGCTAGACCAGGGAAGCAAGTCCAGCTCTCGGAGGCTGAGATCAAACAGCTCTGCACTACAGCTAGAGATATTTTCCTTCAGCAACCCAATTTGCTAGAGCTTGAGGCACCCATCAAAATCTGTGGTATGTTTCTCGAACCGAATATGATTCGTTGATTTAAGGTCGTCTGCTGATTTTAGGGTTTCCTTAATGCTCGTATTTTTTCTTCTCCTGGGTTAATATCTTCAAAAATTGTCAACTTTTGTGTATCATTAATCTCAAGCTCGGACTCTCTTAGTGGTTTTTGGGATAATGTTGTTGACCATCGTGAAACTTTGCCATGGCTTAAACCTTTTGTTGATGTTCTTAAGCGACTAGAATCTGAGTGAGAAATGTTTTGGCTTTTGTGGTTAATCTTTATGTAGAGAGTCTAAACACATGAGTTTTAACTATGAATTTCTAGTATATCATCCAAGGAATTTTGATGTAATTGGTGCTGGATCCTGCACAGTTAGAAAGGTTGTTAATGAATCGAATTGCCAGAAGGATCACATTTGAGTATGAAAATTTGTTTTGTTGAAGAGTTGTTCTCTTATCAGAGAATATGCTGTTTCTTGCAAGTTTGAGTCGATTTGAGTAGATGAGAGATTTTCAGCAAAGCAAGCAAGCATCGCTTTGTTTTGCAATGCTATATTCTTTGGAACTGTTGAGAACATTATATCTACTTCGAGTTTAGCAGCTGATGGCTTTATGAAAAATCCAATCCCTTTGTATGATTTCCCTTATGACTCGTGGTGTAAATGTCTTAAAAACAGGTGACATACATGGGCAATATAGTGATTTGCTGAGGCTGTTTGAGTACGGTGGCTTCCCTCCTAGTGCCAATTATCTGTTTCTGGGGGACTATGTGGACCGAGGCAAACAGAGTCTTGAAACGATATGTCTCTTACTAGCTTACAAGATCAAGTACCCAGGGAACTTTTTTCTACTAAGGGGAAACCATGAATGTGCTTCTATCAATCGGATTTATGGCTTTTATGATGAATGTAAAAGGAGGTTTAATGTGAGGGTATGGAAGGTTTTTACAGACTGTTTCAATTGCCTTCCTGTTGCGGCGCTTATAGATGACAAAATATTGTGCATGCACGGTGGACTATCGCCGGATCTCAACCATCTGGATGAGATTAGAAGCTTGCCTCGCCCAACCATGATTCCCGACACCGGGCTGCTCTGTGATTTGCTCTGGTCTGATCCTGGGAAAGATGTTAAAGGATGGGGAATGAATGATAGAGGCGTTTCATACACCTTTGGTCCGGATAAAGTCTCTGAATTTCTAACAAAGCATGATCTAGACCTTGTGTGCCGTGCCCATCAGGTAAATGTTTTGATCATGTCTCTCTCTGATTCTACTGCCTTCTTGTCTCTTGATGTCAACTAGGATATTTAATGTTCTTTTTTTATGGCAGGTCGTGGAGGATGGTTATGAGTTCTTTGCTGATAGACAACTCGTGACGGTGTTTTCAGCTCCTAACTACTGTGGAGAATTTGATAATGCTGGCGCGATGATGAGCGTGGACGAGAACCTTATGTGCTCTTTTCAGATTTTGAAGCCCGCGGAGAAGAAGACCAAATTCATGATGTCCACAAAGATTTGATCTTTTGATTAAGGTTAGTCCATAATCTGTCCTAGGCAAACCGAAACAAGTGAATGAAAGGATTCTTATGCATTGATATCTTCCTTACAAGCCAAGTACATATCTCTGTTAAAAAAAAAAGGCTTCTAAAGGGTTTTCCTGCTGAAACTTTAAATCTCATGAGTTATTTTGGCTTTTCCTTCTTTTCGCAGATGGATTTGGTCTTGCTCAGAGAAATTGATTCAAACCATTGACGATTTGGCTCTAAAGTGTGTGCCGATGGTAGTGAGAACTCTTAGAAAGGAGCAAAACCTTAGTCTTCTAATCTCTTTCTTCCCAAATTCTCTTTCTGCATATTTTTTTTTCCCATCTTCTTTTAAGGGTTTTACATGAGTTTCATCTGCCTGTTGAAAGCACATAGATGGTGTGTACATGCATATGATCATTTCTTGGATTTTAGGACACCAAATGAAGTGATGATTATAACCAAAAAAAAAAAGTGTTTAGTATGATAAGCTTTGTCTCTTAAGCGGCATGTGAATGTGGAAGGGCATAAGGCATATGTGGAGGTCTTCACTTAACCAACATCAAAATCGAAAGAGCATCTTATTACAAAATAAAAAGTCTCACTCCTGGTCAAGTAACAGAAGAATGTGAGCTCTTGAAATTAATCAAGAAATGTCCACTCGTCTTTGTTTGATCGTGTGTGAAGTGATAGATGATCCATTTGGTGGACAGTGGACACTAAAAATAGAATATAATATGATAAGTAGATTATTTTTTTGACATTTTTTGAACCTAGTGAACCGATAATAATTAGATTTAGAGATGGTGAAATTGAAATGTGGTTCTTTGTTGTGGATGAGAAGCAAAACACGAAGCGATAACTAAGCTTGTATAAGTAACTTTTGTTACAAACGGGAACCAAAATCATATGTATCCAATTCCTTGGACAACTTATTATGTCACTATCATTTCAAAAGACATGTTCATATTCTTGGTCCATTGGCTCACTAGAATTTAATCAACGTATAGAATCCTCAAAAATTTCCTCAACGTATTTATGTCATATTCGCCTAGACTTTCTACTTCCTTTGTGTTATTTGGTTGGAGAAGTTTGCAACGCGGCTTAATTTAATATCTCTATGTTCTGCTCTATATATAGATTAGTAAGGCATCGATTGTTCTACAAGAATTGGTTTATCTACGGTTTTGGTTTTGATTAAGATTATGCTTTTAGATCAAATTATATCGTTAGTTTACAAAGAAAGTACATCCAAATTTCAAATCGGATTTATCTCTATAGTTGGTCCGACTCATAAATCATAATCGGGATTCATTTTTCGGTGACAGAGAAAAAAAATATATCCATTTTGACTATATCAAGATTTATCAGACCAATTTTTCTGGTTATTGGTTTATTTGGGTACAACATTACACATTTACACTCCTACACTAGATTCTTGTTTGCATCTTATTAATAGTGATTATATATGGTTTTTTTTCATTCATAAACAGAAGGGATGTTAACAGCGGAAAAACAACGGCCGAGATTAAAGAAGTCTAATAAATATTCAAGAAATGCGATTATAAACGCTCAAAGAATTTACAGAATTTTAATATAGCTTTTACTCTTTTGGCCTAACGTTTTTCATTGTTCGCCACTATTTATACACATATTCATAATATAGTTTATTGTATCCAAATCACGAATCCTGTAATCTCTTAGCCTTTTTTATCAAAATGTTTTCCCGAACATTGTTGGTTTTCTTCGCCTTTTCCATTTTCATCGTATGCTCGAGTAGAACGTTGGCGCCATCTCCGGACAATTCGCCAACGCAGGTACCTTTTATTTATATATTTTATCATTTATATTATTTTCTTTTTCGAAAACTAATTACGTATTATCCTTAAAGCGTATATTTTTCAATTGAATATGCTACACAGTTGTATATAGTCCAAGTTGATCCTGATGTGTATCATAATGACTGTAACAACTACCAACAACTTCTCCGAAAGGTGGTTCACGGAAGGTAATATTGGGTTTCTATAGAGTATAACAATAAGCAAAAAACGAATTCATTTGAAAATGCTATATAGCAAAGGCAAACCAATAAAACAAATAAATAAAGAATGTTATGAGGGAATATATAAGGCAAGACTAACGAGGAATCCAAGAGTATAATAATAAAGGTTGAGTTAATAACGGTTGTAAAAGACATTCAGAATTTTTAGTTTTGTCATACTCTATTTTTTTTTCTTCAGGTCACCAAAACTAATATATTGCTACCAATACGTCCTGAGCGGATTTGCAGCAGTATTCACCGAAGAAGAGGCTGAAAATTTGAGAGGTATAATTGTTCAACTAAAAAAAAAATATATTGTTGTTTAGTGGTTAAAAGATTTATTATGTCAGTTGAGGGATCATGGTTTGAATTTTTTTTCTTTCATGGTTAGTCATTATTTTACAACCCAAAAACCCCGGAATTTTACAAAATTTTCCAAAATTTGGCTAGGAGTTCTAGATTAAAACAGAAATCTACTTAATTGTTGGAGCACTGATCTTGCTGGTCAAGAACACTATGACTAATATTATAGGAAGAAAAAGAAACACATCCAACGTTTTAAAAATGAAAGATAAAGATTCTGGTGAAAAAGAAGATTTATATTTATTTATCAAAAGAAAGATATATTGGTTGAGAACTAATCACCAAAAAATAATGTGGAATTGACAAATTCCAAAATTAAACAATACGTTAACTGCTTTTTTCTTAATTATAAACCCATGCAGGTGAGAAAGGGATTTATCGTGTTTCCCCAGACGAAGAAGTCCACATAGATGTGGCTAGAATCAAGCAACCTAGTCACTAAAATCAATCGAAGCAAAAGATTCAATTTCATATGATACATCCAATGTATTTTTCTTGTAATTTCTTCATAAAACTGCATTACTTATTGACTTTGAGTCATAACGTGTAACAGATTAAAGATAAAATAAAACTATTATGATTTAATTCTATATACTTCCGACGTCTTACCGGCCTGTGAGTTTGATGCTTCTCCCGAGGATAGTAGTGACTTACTATTAGAACGTTTACAAAGTTCATTTCAAAACTTGGAAGAACTAAAAAGAGATGTTTTTTTACATAAATGAAATGCGTTTGTCAGATATTATCTTCCATTCTTCCTACTTCAATTATATGAATATTTGGTCCCTCAAACTCAACTGATCCAGCTTTATTCGAGCCTAAAGCCTAACTCTAAACGGTTCTGAAATTTATCTAATAAATAAAAATATATAGCCATAGGCCAGTTCAAAGTAGTTTAAAACCTGTTCAAGTCTAACCCGGAACAAGCCTTTTATAACAATTGGATCTGGGATTTGATCTGAAATAGGTTACAGGAAGTTTGGAGATGAATCTGGAAAATATCACCACGGACCCATCAGACCTAAATCTATGACCCATGTATCCTTAAAATACCAGCAATGAATCTTTGTAAATATATGTAAGGAAATTTTATACGATTATAAAATTCAAAGAAGCTCTATTTTTAAATTCACAATCAATAAATATTTATTTTTATTTGAAAGAGATAAATTAATAATTCTATAAATCAATAAATTATCAAAACTCTAATATTATTAATTTATAATGTTTATACTTTCTTTTGTATTAATTACAAATAAACTCCATTTTACGAACGCATATTGTTTTCAAATGTTTGAATTCGAACTGATCCACTGGGTAAGTATAAGATTCTTTTTATTGATAAGAAAAAGGAGCAAGTGCTTCTTGTTGAGCTTTAGGGAAACACAAGGTAACGCTTTTCATCTTTTTTTGTTTGTTTACTACTGATTAGGTATCGTTATCTTTTAGTTTTGTGCTGTCTTAATTCTATATATCCCAATTTACACATTCATTGGTTTCGTTTCAAATACCTTAACCTTTATGTTTTTATAAGTCTTAATTATTCTTATTTTTAAAAGTCTTGGTTAATCTTATGGCAAAAGCACATATATACTAATTCTCGGAATTTGTAGAAATGTAATGGGCAGAACAAAAATCAGGGTTGTATGGAACTCAATCTTTAGTTTCGACCAACAAGACAATAATTGATGGGTGGTCAAGTTTATGACACAGAGTAGTTCTCAAAATAGCATTATAAGTTCGAGCCCACATAGACTTATCACATCCATGAAGTTCAATAAAATTTAAAACAATTTGATGTAATTATAAATACTAGTATAATGAAAGAAAAGTAAACATGCAACCAAGAAAACTAAACAGTTAGGAAATTGGAAAAATTTTCTATGAGTTTTGGGATCGTCTAGGTCTAATATTTTTTTTTTTTTTTTTTTTTGACCTCGTCTAGGTCTAATATTCGATTTAAAATGTATATAGTTTCTTCATTTAATTGTTAGCTCATTCAAAACTTTGTATCAGATATAAAAAGGTTTAGTGTTCAATGGATCTAAACATCTTAGTAGCCATATTATGAAAAATATGCAATGAAAACTAAGCATAAGAGATCCAAACGGTATATTGGTCCAAGATTGGGGAGCAGAGAGCATTTTGTAGCTAGGAGCTTGTTTAACCCTCAAGCTATGGCTCTCCTGAACAGAAAAAAGGATCCAATCCTCTTTCCAAAAGGCTGCCCACTCTCTCTCCAATATTATCTCTATCTATAAGTCTTTTTGACATTATTGATGTCAATGGTGTCCATTAATTGATAAAGTTGCAATTGGATGTTGATGATGGTGGTGAACATGCATGTCATGATTTCCTAAAGTCCCATGAAGCACACGTATCAACACACTTTTTCCATTTAATCTTTTTTTTTTTGCTATGAATGTAAATATCATTACAAATGATATATTAAGTTTTTACAAACGAGAATAACCTATAGTTTGATACCTTGTCAAAAAAGAATAAAAACAAGGTAGCAAAACCTTGGCAACAGATGACCGGTTTTCCATTCAATCTTTCTTTTTCATGTTTCTTTTTTGCAGTCGAATTATTCTTTGCGTGAGGAGTCTATACCATTAGTTTTCACTTTGATTTAATTTGCATTGTACAGATAATTCTAAGTGTTTGTTATATACAGTTACAACCGGTCATGTGTTGTATCTTTGCAGAGAATGTTTTAAAACGCATAGTCAAAGTCAAACAATAACCGATAAAAAGAATATTAGGACAAATACCCATCACACGTATTGACATTATGTTCTATCGGTTTAGGTTCCGTTTAGTAGATGCACAACATTTATTCTATGTATGGCATAATTGCTCTTTCTCTGCCTGAAATGCTATATATGACTTTCGTAATATTGAAATATATACTTGGCATTTGTAGTCATTGCGAAGTTGATGTGTCACTTATTTTTCTTTGTCAACAACATATGTATATGTTATTGGATTTGAATTCGGATTATGACACGGTTTTGACACTAATATAAAGCATTAATTACATGTACTAATCAATATATCCACATTGTCATCATGCTTTAGTTCAATGGGTTGATTGGTTTAGACGTAAATATTTGTGTTTTTTTTTATGAACATCTTATAGACATATTAGATTGTTCATATAAAAAGGGGTCTCAAATCATACTGTATTTTAAGAATTATAACCACGAACGTGAAACCTAGCAAAAAAAAAATCTTTATATTTTGATTAAAATAGTAAAGATTTTGTGTTTTTTCTTATAGTAATAACAATCGTAATAAGTTATCATACAATCGTAATGGTCAACGCAAATGCAAGCACTAGGATGTATCATACGTTGACCCAAAAAGCCTTGACTTACTATTTCAGCCAACGATCACAAACCCTAACGAAAAGAATTTACTCGCATACATAGTATTTCTTTTCAATAATGTATATCAAAATAAAGTGTACTGTAGGCCTAATTAATGTCCACCAGATATTATTAATAAGTATATATATATATATATATATATATATATATATATATATATATTACAGTTGATCAATTGGTAAACTAGTCGAATAGTTCATTGACTAATCTATAAAATTTAATCAGCTAGGCGGTCAATTGATCATACGTACAGCCAATTAACACATAGTGTATGTAATCTATTTATTGACTGGCGATTAGTCGGTCTACTAAATTATACAGCTAATTCAACAGTGTGCAAATGCAATAGATCAGTTTTTATTGATGTGCAATAATTGGTGGATTAATCGATTCCACTCATAGATGCTTCTGAAAAGAGGGGGTAACTAGAAAATTAAATGGCGCCGAAATTACCAAAACAAAATTAAGAACAATATAAATTTCTTACCATGGTTTCATATACAATAGTCAGAGTTGGCAAGTGTTTGATAGTGTCTATAAATAAGCATATAGGAGAGTGAGTATAGCTTATACCTCCCAACACAATCACTACAAATCTTTCTCAAAGCGACTTCTCTTGTTTCTTCCCTTTCTGTACTCTCTGTCTTTCTCTTCTGAATACATATCTCTTACCTACAAACGACTAACTCTTAAACATAGAAAAACAAGTATACACGATATAAAGTTGAAAAGAGCGGTCCATGGACAAGAAAAAGTCAGTATCGGGTTCCTCTGCATCCTCCTCGTCTTCATCTCTTGATCATCTTTTTGGTCCAAGAGTCTCTTCCTCGTCTTCTTCATCATCAACAACGGGATTGTTCCAATCCATTTTCCCACCACCCTCAATGGTATGAATCAATATATATATGAGATATCATCATCATTATAAGAGTATAAATTGTATGTACCGTCTCTTATGTCTCTATATATATTTTATTTGTTCTCAACTCAAGGGGACGCAAGCGGATTTGGCAAATCGAAATGGAGCTGCCAAATATCAACGTCCAAATTTGGGGATTCCAAGTGAGTCTATTTCTGACGCTAACTAAGTGTTCTGGACGTGTCAGTCCTTAAATAAATTATTTCTCAACGTAGACATAATAACTATGAACTCAATGAAATACAACTTCATGTACTAAAGGTCTAAAAGTGACAAATATTATTATGAGACTACAGATGAAAGAGGAGAAAGGAGAAAATATAAGGAGAGGAAGGTTTACCAAAACGAAGAAACACAACCACCATGCAACTTGAGCTCATCAATTTACTATGGAGGCCAAGAGAACTATTCTTCTTCAGCACCACCACAATCAACAACCAATCTAGATGATGTAGGGTTTCTTAATTACCAAAAAATCATTGTGTTGCATATGGATAAAAACACTAGTACTCGGATTAGATTTCCATCTGACAAGCAATCCTATATTACTAAGCATCTAAATTGCACACTACCGTATATGTAACAGCATTTTTGAGACATAGTTGGATTTTTGAGCTATATAAACGCATATAGGCAAAGTGATATTCTATAAATTAATATCTTGTAATTTTATTTAAGTTCATTTGGATATATATATATATATATATATATCATTGTGTATGTACTTTGAATTTGACTCTGATTAAAATCGCTAACTCTGAGGTGTTCAGTATATGAAAGATGGAGAGGAAAGCGGTTCTGAACGTGCTTCGAGAGGAAACTGGTGGGAAGGTAAAAGATTACAAACATTTTCCATTCACCAGTTTCATACATTTTCTTTTATCTATATACGAAACTCATTTATAGATAATCAAAATATGCAGGATCGCTTTATTACTAAATATCAATCCTAGCTGATGCCTGATGATGCACGATAAGAAAATGGTACAACCTGTATTGCATATTCTTGAGTTTACTATATCTCTTATGGTTTCAGAATAATAAAGGAACCAAATAATTCATAGTGAATAAATAAGTTGCTGATTGTCTTCTTAACGTTTATTTTGCAGGAACCTCGATTAATTGAATATGGAAGGCGACGTATAGAAATATACCTAGAAAATATATGAATAACAAATTAACTAAAAAAGTTATGTAAGAGTATATATGCCTTGTATAAGGAAGAAAAAGGTGTAGAGTACATTATATATATAGTATAAGACGAAATAAACGTCTATACATAAAGGGAGTATCGATATATGAAAAAAAAAAAAAAAAAAAAAAAGAGTATCGATATATGACTTGTTCATTCAATATGTTTCAACAAAAGCAACAAGTTAGACAACTCTCTTTATAATGAAATCGACATCTGTCTAAGAGTCGCTTTTGTTTTGTTGGGTCTTTGTATTTAGTTTGATATGTAATCCAATTTCATGCTGCTTCGTATGTAATGTAACTGTATCGTATCATAGTAATCGATCCTCTGATGTTAGTATATAAAAAAAAAATTCCTTATGTTCTTCTTCTTGTGACACTACTTATACCAGAAAAATGAAGAAACTAGATTTGGTAAAATCGTTAAGAATTTTGACAAGAACGAAGTAATTGATGGATTAGAGAAAACAAATGAAGCTAATTACGAAAACTACATTCATCGATTTGATAGACATAAGACGGACAAACTAAAATACAGCCCAAATGGTCCATATTTTGGGCCTGTGATGAAAAAGGCAGTACCTCAAGCAGGAATAGTAAAAAATTGAACTCGCCGTTGCCGGGGATCGAACCCGGGTCACCCGCGTGACAGGCGGGAATACTTACCACTATACTACAACGACTTTTTTTGACGACCTCACTGTTAGAATAGATATATATATATATGTATTCATGTTTCATCATAAGACTATTTCTTCATCCATCAGAAATCACAAGGCATTACTGGGATTTTACTTTCAAGCATACTGTTAGTAAGAAAAGTTGAAAATATTATATTTTACTTTCAAGCATACTTTGAATTGTTTGCAAAATTGCATTGTAGACTCTTGTTTATTGATAATGCAAAACATACACGATCGTAAAATGGTTTCAAAGTATTTATAATGGACCTAATCGAAGGGTCGAATCGAATTCTCACGATTAGTCTACGATGTGAATCAAAAATAAACTGCCAAATATGCAAATACAAAAATATAAATTGCTTAGTATATTAAGGAACAAAAAGCACTCGTTCGAAGATTAGTGTTTACGAGGCTTTGACCATTGACGGTTCAACAACTAGTGATATTGCTAAGCACATACTTTCTATGGCGCACGTGATGCGCTTGTGAGTAACGTTGTACACCACACATGCTATGTGATAAACAGTTGGCGTCGCACGTGCTGTAGCATTGCTAAACCGAGTGAACGAGAAAGAATCATTCCTTTTGCATGTGGCCTGAGAGAAAAACTTGGGCCAATTCCCTTTGCTTTGAGAGTTTCTAAACTCAAAGTATCTGTGTTTCTTCTATCTTTTGATACTTTTCATTCTTTCATAAATTGATTTAAAAATAGCCACGGCTAGAGATTAACTTTGAATTTTGTAATTATCATATAAATCTCATAGTGGTCATTTACTCTTCTTTGTGTTAGTTTTGATGTATAACGTATTATTAAAATAGTGCTTTTGATAAAATTTTGTTGCAATATCACTAGAATAGTTAAAACTCAAAAGTTGCTTTGAGTTTTGTCGGCCGTCATTAGATCTCATCTAGTGGAAACTGGATCGTAGAATTTGAGAGCATACCAAAGGCGATTGCTGAGATCATATTTCATGTAGCAATCTTTTTATATATTTAAATCGAAGACATAGTGGTAATGAAATCGTATTTGCATAACACAAAAGTCTCATTTCGTGGAAAAAAATAATTGAAAATATTATTAAAACAAAAAGCAGTGTAAAAAGATGTTTGATAACTTGAACTTCACGAGATCCAAATGCGGGTAACGTTGGAACAGCTAAATCCACGTCAAAGAGGACGAAGCTTATGATTAAAATGGTCAGCTAAGATTCCTCATCCTATGCAATTTTCCTAATTAATACCACAGTTTTAAGTATTAACTAATATTGTCTCCCACCCAAGCTCGTTCAAAATCTCTCTACTGCCTATACTAGCTATTTCCGTGATACAATAGTATTAACTAATTATTTATTTGAAAAGAAAGATGAGTCGGATTTTCATTAGATCGCCGGGTTACATCAAAAACCACGATAATATCAACACGTAAATATTACATCGAAACCATCGTTATTACTTATTATGAAATTTTCAACTAGAGAAAGAGCTTTTAAAAATGTTGATCTGTTGAGAATGACTACCGAAGACAAAAAAATAAAGTGGCTAATAATACCAAGCAGAAGAAAACTTCAAAATAAACTGTCTCTTTTTAAGTAAAAAAACAAAAAAAATCTAAGCCAGAATATTATAGATATATAACAAATAAAAGGTTGGATGCCTGTAAACTCGTATATACCTTTTCGCTTATTCATCTCTTCTCATAAGTGATTTTATTACTTATTAGTTATATTGCATATCCTTGTAAAAGTAATGAAGTTGTGCAATCTCAAACTTGTGTAAATTCAGTTTATTACATGCCATTATCCCTTATGTAAGTTCACAACTTTATTTATATTAATGAAGTTGTTGATAAATTAAAGAAAGAGACTTCCCATTTGAAATGGACGGATGGTATATTTCTGTCACATATCCCTCTATAGGCTTTCGGCGGGAAATTCGAAATGACATTTGCAGATTTCTTTGTTTTTTTCTTTTCTTTTCCTGTAAGTCTTTCTTTTTATTTTTTATTCTTTCTTGCTTGAAACATTTAAAATCGCATCCTACATTATCACTCAGTCAATTTCGGATACGGTAAATCGCCCCCAACCATTCATTTGCTTCCATTATTATTATTTATTTACTTATATTTTTGTGTTTTTGTTTTTCTCAAATGTTTTGTAGAATGAAGGCAGCGAGAAAGACAGCTTCTGTAAAGCATATGCTGGCAGACACACAACCCACCTTCATTTGCTTCCACTCACGCGCTCTTTCTCTCGCGTGTAATCCACTTCCCTAAATAACTCTCACTGCCCTTAATTGCTTTGTTTTATTAAGGCCAAATCTGATAAGTCCCGTCGTAAATTACGGGGAAAAAATGAATGGATTCCACCTAAGTTTTGTTGTTGTTATAACAACATCAACATCAGCAGCTTTCTCAATGGTTGTCTAAGTAATATTTTTGTTTATAACAGATTATAAAGCATTAAACGAAGTTTGGAGTATAATATTATTGTGGGTGCTCTTGGTCTTAGTTTAGTAGTCTCCGGAGACAAAAGACGCAACTAGGGGCACATTTTTGGGCTTAACGTATACAGTTACTTATTAAAATATTATTAAAATGAGTTAAAAAAAAACACTTTTGAGTTTCTTTCGATTAAATTAACAATAAAAATATACTGCTTATGTTTTCTTGCTTGTACATATATTCCAAAGAGAAAAAAAAAAGAAGAAGAGAAGAAGATCTGTTCCCGCTCTTTTGACTTAACGGTGCTGTCCTTTTCGGCAGGTAAAAGCTGGACCCCACCACCATTTCACTTTTCTTTTTATTTTATTTCTTCTCCTATAAATATCTAGGCGGGAAATTTGTAGTATATAGTATATATTATCTAATTCAGTTTACAAAACGGTTTCGAATCCGTCGTTAAAGTCCTGTTATATGACGGCTCGTTAAGTGTAACGGAGGAGGGAGAAGTGGATAGATCAACAGGCTCTTTAAAAATCCGTTACGTCAGACGGAGAAGGAAGGGGGAGAGTGACGGATCGACTGATTAAAATCTGCCGAATCTGCTGAAATGCCACGTCACCTCTATTCAAATTTCCTGAGTGGTCACGAGATTTCTATGACCGATTTTATATAATTTTTTTAAAGAAAAAAAAAAACGAAAACCCTACAAAATAGGGGTCTTCAATGGTTACCAGAAAAAACCGAACAGTCGCCGAGTGTTTGGTTTTAACCATTGTGACTTTGTAATCAGTGTTTTATAAAGAGTGTCATTCTAACATTTTTCATACATATTAAGAAAATTACTAAAAATACAATTTTATCTTTTATTAATACATTAAATAACTTATTTTTATCTAATAAATATATTAAATTAATAGAGTTAAAATTAGAATATTATTTAAAATTTTGCATTGAAAATATAAAACGACACTTTTTGTGAAATAAAAATAAAACTTTAAAATAACACTCTTTATAAAACGGAGGAAGTATCAAGTTGTAATTAACGCCATTTATTAACGTAATTTTTACGAGTACTAAATTGCGTCTCATGAATGCTAAAAGGAACTTAATTATTAAGAAGTAAATGTATTGTAATCTAGGAAAAAAGAAAAGAGGCGGTAGAAGAGGAGAGTGCAAATGATGAGAAGGATTTGCATGAGGAAAAGGGAGGAAGGCGTAATTATCAAGTGTTCGATGCTTTTGATTAGCCCACACAATTTTTGTTTTTTTTTTAATATAGTAGATTCTACAAAGACTGAGATTTTTATTTAGGGTAATTAAAAAAAATTAGAAGACAATGAAGCTGTAAATGACAACATTTTAAGATTAAGTGGGTTCCACCTGTATTTCTCATGCCCATAGACATTCCAATACTTAAATATCTTATCTTATATAATAAAAAAATATTGAAAAAGTGTTTAAAGAAGATGAAAAAAACCGATCATGATGGGCAATAAATTTGTAAGAAAAAAAGGTCTATTGGTAAAACATAGCGGTAAATAATAGAGGCAACAGAAAATGGCGAAAAAAGACACTAGAAAAAATACCATAGCAGTTTAAACTCTGTCTTAAATAAATAAATAAAATCAGACACTGAGTGACACTGTATAGTTTAATCTACTAAATGCAAAATACTTCAGAAAACACCAAGGGACATATAGTTTTGATTTTCGTCCATCACGCATTAATTACGGATAACTCTATAATTATAAATTTTAGAAAAAAAAAAAAAGGAGAAGAGAGATATTAAAGTGCTTTTGAGCTGTCTCATAGAAACCCTGAAACCTTAATAAAAGCAACCATGTCTTCAACATTCTCCATCTCCC